TGTAGGAATGGTAGAATGGAAGAGGGAAAGATGGAGAGATGGAGAGATGGAGGGATAGAGGGACAGAGAGAGGAATGTAGGCATGGTGGGATGGAGGAGGGAAAGATGGAGAGATGGAGAGATGGAGGGATGGAGAGAGAGAAATACAGGTACAGAGGGATAGAGGGATGTAGGGATGGGGGATGGAAAGATGGAGAGACAGAGAGATAGAGGGATAGAGGGATGTAGACATGGAGGGATGGGGGATGGAGCTATAGGGGGATGGAGGGGCTAGAGACTGCAATCAGGACAAAGACTAGGTTTAGAAGGAGTGAAACAGGAGAGATAGTTGTAGAGATGATTGCGATCAAAGAGGATTTCAGAGTTCAAAAGGAAGTGGTTCCTATCAATATTGACATACTCTTTTAAATGAAACTGGAAGACACAGCCCAAGATGTCATTAGTTTTTTCTGGATGTCACATTACACTATTGACAAATGGAGCTTGTAGTCTCATTTTCAGACAAATCTCTGCCTGACCATGCCTCCCTCATACTGTCCTTGTGAAGCTGATGCTATTAGCCCAAGGGGAGGAGTTCACTTTGCTCCCTCCCCCCCACCCCCCATTGAATTTCAGTGCATTAGATTCAGGTCAACACTCTGGCCAGTCAAGGTCTTTTTGGATCCTGAAATTTTTTCATTAGTTGTGTCAGCTAATGTGAAAGCTCCCAGTTTTGTACCATCTGTAAACTTGGTGAGTCTGCCTACTATGCCTTTATCCAAGTCGCTGATAAAATGTTGAACAGCCCAAGGCCAAGTGCAGATTGCTGGGGTTCTCCACTGGAGCCCTTCTGCCAAGTTGACATTGAACTTTTCATGACTAACTTAGTCCTTACACCCAGTCATGCAACAATTTTGAATCCCTCTAAATGTTCTCTCATTTTTCCTGTAAGAACAGTATATTGTATCTAATGTCATGCTAAAATTGAAATAAATAAATTGAAGGACATAAAGCATTCTCCTGTCCAGCAGATTAACAACCCTGCCCAAAAGGCAGTAAGGGTGGTCTGCCACACCCCTTGGGGAAGGAAGCCAGGACAGCCCTTTGTGGCCATCACCTTCCTTTCCAGTTGCTCACTGACCTTTTCTTTAATTATCCACTCTTGATTAAGGGGTTGTTCATTGGCCTATCATTTGCAGACTTCTTAATATTCTGTTTTTAAACATTAGAACATTTGCCCTTCTCTAGTCCTGTGATGTCCCGGCTCAGGGTCCTACTTTCTCGGTGTGTGAGTGTCCAGAGACTGATTTCATCCAAGCCGAGGGATCTGAATTTGTCCAGTGTAGCCAGGGGTACTTTTGCTATCTCCTGACTTATCTTGGTCGCCAGCTCCCCATAAACCATTTCTGTTTTGTTCTTTCCTCTAAAACGACTTCCCATTCCCCACCTATGTATCTTATACACATGTGGGTGTTTGCAGGTTGCCTTCCAGGTTAAACCATGAACTCCCTGAGGACAGAAAGTTCTTCTTCTTTGTGCACCCCCAGGGCCTGGCATGTAGTAAGTGCTTAATAAATGCTGCTGATTGATTGACCTCAACATGATTCTCCTTGGCAGAGAAAACAGAAGCAGGAGTGGTGGCCAGTTACACTCACCCAATAGCTGCCAAGCCACAGTCCTGACCCGTGCTGACATTTGCTCTCAATATAGCCCAAAACCAAACAATTAACTATTATTGGCAACAACCGCCACCTTTTTATTGTCCTGAGCTTTTCTTGCTAGTCTCAGCTCACTAGAGCTTTGGGAGTTTGGACACTGTCCATGTGACCCCTTGCCTTGTCTACGCTCCCATCCTTCCGACTTCATCCTTCATTATATGTCTTTGCTTCCATATTCCTTACGTGTCTTCTTAGCATCTAAGCTGAACACGCACTAAGTATGATGTAGCAATACATTAAACTCCACAGGGAAACAGGCCAGGAGAGGGAAAGTGGACATGGAGGGATTGGGGATGGGGAAAATTGGGAAGGAAAAGTTACAAACAAAACAGGTTCACCTTTGGAGGTGGGTGATGAAGTGGGCATTAAAAAGAAAGGAAAAAAGTGGAAGACAGATCAGGGACTAGGCTTGGGGACAAAAGGAAGGGCAGAGGAATAGGAACAGACCACTTCAATGGCTGATTACTTGGGCTTCTCAGATTCCTTCTTTTGCTAAACCGCCTTCTTCTTTGTAAAGAAGGAGCCAGAAGAAAAAAGGAAATAGAATGAGGTGATGGCATAGAAGGAAATACACAATTAACAATCATAACAAGGAGCACAAAAGGGGGTAATTCACCTAGGCAATGGGGAAGAGCCAAGGCAATCAAAATACAAAATCCAACAATGTGCTGTTAATTAAAAAAAAAAAAGAAGCCATACTTGAAGCATTAAGATTCACACAGAATTAAAATGAGGGGATAGAGCACTACCTGGTGCACTTCTGGAAAATTCAGAAAAGTAGGGACAGAAATTACTCTCTCAGAAAAGGCAATGAATGGCAAAAACAGACATGGTTAAAAGAGACGAGGAAAAATTACATTATAATTAAAGGTACCACAGAAAATTAAATAATATCAATATTTAACATGTATGCAATAAATGTCATAACATCTAATTTCTTGAAGGAAAACATTAATTGAACTACATGGAGAAATAGACAGGAAATCTATTTTTTTAATTTTTTTTAACCCCCCAGGAACATTATAGCCAAAGACAGCAAATCTATAACAACAATAACAGAATTCATTACTTGCTCACCTAAAATGCTTTAAGTTTTGCAAAGCACTTTTATCATCTGAGACTTGTGATAACTGGGGAGCCTTGCGGTTCCCCTTTTAGACGCCCTTGAACAAATTGAGCAAAAAGATACCTAGGAAAGAACATAAGGAGTCTGAAGAGATTTTGAGAAAAGTTAGCTACGCTAAATCTCTGGTGATCACTGAAAGGGAACAGAAAGGCATATATTTCTCAGTGGTATACTTTAGGAATCTGGCCATGTGCTAGGGCATAAAAGCCTCATAAACAAATGCAGAAAATCATCCATTTTAAATGCATCCTTTACTGACCACAATGCAATACAAACGCTAATCAACAAAGGGCAGTTGAAGAAAGGCTGCAAACTGACATGATGACAGCAATTTCATTCTGAAGAATGAGTGAGTCAATCGTTCAATCAATCAGTCATGAGCATTTCTCCAGTGCCTCATGTGTACCAGGTGCTGCGTCTTAGGAGCTGGAGATACAAAGGCAGAAATGAAACACTCCTTGGCCTCTAATAGCATGTATCTATCGAAGAAACAACATGCACCTATGGTAATTATGTAGAAAATGAACAGAATTTAATTTGAGAGGAGGGAGGCTCTGGCAGCTCTTAGAGACCAGGAAAGGTTTCATGATGGCTACACAGAATATAAATGTTTTGCAAACCTTTGAGTGTTATAGAAATGCGTGCTGTTATTACTTCTTAAATAATTCACGTTGAAGATGGCTGTTGAGCTGAGCTTTAAGGAAGCTGGGGATACTAAAGGACAGATTTGAGAAAGTACATTCCAGGCATTTTAAATAGGGCAGCAGGGCAGGCTGGAGAGGCAGAGGTCGAGGGGCAAGGCCAAGACCTGCTCCCAAGCCCCAAATTACACCAGCAAGGCTTTGAAGCATATTTTTAAAAGTGGAGAAAAGTCCCATTTGTGGATACAAAAACTTCTCTATGAAACCTACTATTACTATGTTTTAAAACATTATCTAATGACTACCAACTATAAGAAAGCAAAGCATTATCACGTAAATTTTCATACAATGAAATAAGACTTAAAGAACACATCACAGAAGCAACCAACAGATTCATCAAAACAAAAGATGACAATTAGACAATATACAAAAGTGTTGGGGATGTGGCCAGAATAGCTCTTAGGAGGAAATTTATGTTTCAAATGTGTTCATCAACAAAAGAAAGAATAAGTCAGTGAATAGGGAACAGAGCTTAAAGAAAGGTTAGAAAAACATAAAAAACATAAAAACATAAAAATAAACATAAAAAACCATAAAAACATAAAATTAAAACTAAATAAAACCTGAAATTCTGAAAATCAAAGAGATACATCACATTGAAAACAACAACAGAATTTTATCGAATTCATAAATAAAACTAAGCTGGCTTTTGCAGGAAGAACAATTAAAATAATATCTCAGCTGGATGGTGCGTACATCCATGGCAGTCCCTTCAGACAACTCCTTTTTCTTCTTTACTGAAACTACTTTTATGTCTTCAAAATTTCCTCCTCCAACCATAATGAGAAACAATGAGGTAGGTCCAGATTTGCAAAGGAGGAGAATGCTGAGGACTGTTTTTGGGAAACTGCAAAGGTCTTTTACTAACCCCAAGATTCCCATGAAAGGAATGGCTGGTCTTCTCAGTGCTAATGTTTTATCAGAGTTGTTATGTGCATGGACTCCTGGACGCATGTATATGCGCGTGTATACATGTCCATATTGTCTATATGTCTACATATATGCACGTGTGTATGTGTATATACACACATGTATTGAGTGTAAAGTGACGTGTAGCTTAAAACACATCTTACACATAAATGTACAGACCTAGTTCTAAAAAGGTCCATTGTATCCTTCCCCCGCAGCCTGGCTCCCAGCACGCCCTCTGCAGCCCCTAAGGAGCCGGCGGCGGAGCTCAGGTTCTGCAGAAGTCTGCGCATGACCTCTAGTTGCCGCGCCCCACCGCTGCTGCGCGTGCGTGCGTGCGTGCCGGTGGCCGTTTGCCAGCTCTCCTGAGAGCGCATGCGCCCGGCGGCTTGTGCGGAACGTTTGTGTCTCTGGTTCGGGCGCCCGGGGGGACGTTGTTTCTCTGACGGACGCGCTACGGAAGCCGGCCGGACCGCCCCCGGAAGCGGAGGCCGCTACCCGAGCCGCGGCCGCCGCTGGATGCCGTTGCCGTCCCTGCGCGCTCCTCCCTCGGCCTGGGCCCGGGCCGGCGCCGTCGCTGAGGCCCGCAGAGCAGAAGGAGAAGGAGGAGGCGGCGGCAGCGGCTGGAGGCCCCCGAGGCCTCTCCGGGAGGCGGAATGTGGCGGGCGCGCCGGGCCGCGGAGGCCTGGTGAGAACCGGGGGAGGCCGGGGAGAGGGGAGGGCAGCGTCCGAGAGCCCGGGGGCCTAGTGGACCCCCAGCACCGGAGCCTTGCACTGCCGGGGGGAGGGGGAAACCTGTCCTTGCCCGCGCCGGCATCGAGGGGGGCAGGGGCGGGGCCTGGGGGCCGCTTGCTCCTCGTTGGGAGCCGTAGGGCGGAGGCCGAGCGGACTCCTCGTCCGGCCTGGTGTAACGTGTGGACTAGACGCTTCGGAGGTGGCTTCCGTCTCCGAGAGCGCGCGCTGGTGTGCGTACCGGGAAGCCGGACTAGAGCTGGGGCTGGGGCTGCGCCGCTTCTGTGATCTTTGCTCCGGGGCAGGGCCAGGAGAGGCCTGGCGTTCCAAATAACAGGGGAGGCAACGGAGGCCGACGGAGCAGTCATTCTTGGGCAGAGCTAAAGAAGGGCCGGGGGCAGGCCTGACCTCCCATGGCATCCTTCACCTGGGCCGACAGCTGCTGGCCACGGTCTCTGGGCCTTGACTCTTAGAATGAACAGGCCGGAGAGGTTGCTGCAGTGCTTGCTGCCCTGGGTAGGGCTAGCAGTCTGGAGATCAGGGCACTTCCCTAGAGAGAATTTACCTGGATTTTAGCAGTGGCATTCTTAGTGGAAAGAGAGATGTGGGCAAGAGAAGGATGGGGATGGAAACCAGACCTGTGTTTCCCTGGTGAGCGGATGCCGTTTACCAGGGCAGGTGTAGAAAGAGATGTCCAGAGCACTGAGAGATCCTGTAACTTGCCTAGGGGGGTGGAATTCGAACCCAGGTCCCTCTGGCTTTGAGGCCAGAATCACAGAGATTGAGAGTTGGAAAGGACCTCAACAGCATCTCCTGGCGTCCCCACAGGAATGAGTCCTTCCTGTACTGTGCTTGACCAGTGCTTGTACAGCCTGGGTGGGAAGATTCCCAGACGGGGAGCTCACTGCCTCCCCAGGCAGCCTCTTCTACTTTACGATAGCTCTTAGTGTTGTCACCTTTTTCCTGATGTCCCACCTGGATTGACCTTTGCACCTTCCCCTCTTGCTCCTAGTTGTAGCCCCTGGTCAGTCAGTTGGGTCAGTAAGCATCGACAAAGTGCCTGCTGTGTGCTGTAGAGGACGGTCCCTACCTTCCAGAGCCCAGTCTGCCCGGGAAGACGAGACAGCAGCCCTGTGTGCACATGAGCTTGGCTCTCGCTCATTCTTTGTGACTCCTCTGTTTTCTTGGTTAAACAACCTGTCCTCGCAGGTTATGAACTCCAGGGCTGTCACCCTGCTGGGATGTTCTCCTCTGGCCACTCTCTAGCTGATCAGCTTATCCCCAAATGATGCTGCCCAGATCAGGGCAGAGGGCAGGTCCTGGGAGCTGGATCCCTCCTCCTGGAGCAGTCATTTAAGCTTTTCCATCTCTGGTCTGGTCAGACCATATGGGGAGTGTTACATTCAGTGCTGAGCAGCCTGAAGGGTCCGAGGGAAGGCTTTGAGGAGCTGGGCAAGTCTGGCTGGGGGTGGAGATGAGCTGACATCGGTCTGAGGCAGCCCCTGGAGCAGCTGTGGGGGGAAGGAGCACAGAGTCCGATGGAGGCCAGGGTTAGGCTGAATCAGAGTGGACGGGCGGGGAGGCCTGGGGTACTGGCTAGGATCGTGTGTTTGGCTGTGTGCTGGCAGAGGTGCTTTTTTGACTGAGATTCTCCGGGGTGTTGGAAATGAGTGGAGTAGGATCCTACTTTGTCAGAGCTGCCCTGCCCTGGTTTAGTTGGGTCTAGACAGACAGCAGTGCTCAGCCATCATTTTGTTAATTTTGTAGGATTACAGGATTATAGCCTTTGACCTCTTGCATTTATTTATTTATTTATTTGTCAAAGCAATGGGGTGAAGTGACTTGCCCAAGGCCACACAGCTAATAAGTGTGTCTGAGGCCAGATTTGAACTCAGGTCTTCCTGAATCCAGGGCTAGTGCTCTATCCACTTCGCCAGGTAGCTGCCTCCTACCGCTTGTTTTACGTGGGAAGCAGGCTCAGAGAAAAGGTCACCCAGTTGGAGTCCGATTCTTTAGCTCTGAATCAAGTGAGTGTTCATTCTACTGCCCGATGTCTTTGGGTGGCCAGAGTCATGGTGATGGCCTTTGGCTCCCGGACAGCTTCCTGGCTTCTGTAGGTACTGATGCCCTCTTTGGAAACTGTAAAATCATTGTTGTACTCGGGTCATACACTTCGTAGAGTAGGAGGGATTGGGAATTCTGTGTGGGAGGAAAAATCCAGGTTTTCTTGAATAATTGACTCAACTCAACAATGCGTGTAAAATTAAGTTCTTAATGACTTATCATGTACAACGTGGAACATAACAAATCTTGGTTTCTTGAAGGTTATGTGTAACAGGCAAGATCAAGGATGCTTTCTACACTCCAGGAGATTTTGCTTAGTTAGGATAATGATAATTAGTTCCACTAAATGATGATCTTTTGATAAATCCTTTCTATAGTTGCAGTCTTTTAAAATTTGTGATTTCTCTTCATTATTTACATTTTTGGAAGAATTGTGTTTGGGTTTTTTGTTTTGTTTTCACCATAAATATGGCAAGTAACTGATTTTCTTTTAAGGAAAAGGAAAAAAAAAGATTCCCTTCCTGGTCCTCACTTTCTCCATCTGTAAAATAAAGGAGTTGGATTAGACAGCCCTTGCCATGCCTCTCTATGACCTGGTTGACTTTGCAGTGAATGTAAACAAATGATTGGATCTGGAGACAGGGCCTCTCAGCAGTCCATGGACTTCTTTTTCCTAAGTGCGCATGAGGAAACTGATCCAGCGAGCTTCCCTGGACCTGTCAGGGTCTGGTGTGAGGCCAGCTCTCTGTCAGGGAGGCCTTCTGGGGAAGCATCGCCCTCGCCCCACAGGTAGAGGTAGTGGCCTGGCCCCGTGTTGACCTTCACTCCCCCTAGCCCCCGATCAGGTACGGCTGCTGCAGCGACCTTCTCATGGGTCTCCTAGTCCAGCCTCCACTCAGCCTCCTAAGTGATTCTCCTGAAATGTTGTTTGAACCTTTCCCTCCCTCCCTCATTGAAGTCCAGTGGCTCCCTAGGACCTCCGAGATCCAGTGTCAGGCTCTTCCCAGCCTGGCCTCACCTGCCTTTCTGACGGGCTGTCCAGTGACTGCTGTCCTTGCTGTGACTTTGACATGACCCTCCAGCTCTCCTGCCTGGAATGCCCTCCACCTTCTGCCAGAGGCCTTCCCTGGCCCTCCAGCTGCTGGGGCTTTCCCCCAAAGGGACCGTGTGGGTGCTTCCTATCTGCCTGTACGTTGCATATTATTTCCTCCATCAGAATGAGGTTGGGGCCTCTTTCATTTTTGTAGCACAGTGCCAGGCCCATAGGAGGAACTTAATGACTGGCTTGTTGCTGGATAGGAGTGCCCTTTACCCTTGTTTCTGTGATGCCTAAAGATCACAGAAGTGATGATTTAAGAAGACCTCGGAAATGTTAGGATTCCACCCTCCCCCAAGACCAGGTGAAATTGGAAAGCCCTCGGCTCTAATAGCCTCGCACCTGCTTCGATCCTCAAACTGGGCCTCTTAACCTTGAGCTACATTTAGGCATAACTGGTTTCCTGTGGAATCCCCTGTACCTTATTTTAGGCCTTTAAAACCCCGCTTCTGGGAAGGGCTTCACGGGCTTGCCCAGACCTCTCCTTTGGTCCAGCACACAAAGAAGGCTCAGAAGTCCTGTCCCAAAGCTCTGGGAAATGTCTTCTTACAAACAGAGGGACATTCTTACATGTTTACACTTGGAGGTAAATTCATACTTGGCCACATATGAGAAGGCAAAAACCTCTTAGAAATTTGTAACCACATGACATTGGTCCTCTCGGGAAATGTTTTTTAAGCAAACTACATCATGAAGTTCCAGGCGGTCACCCCTGTTGGAGGTGCTGAACAGCCACGGAGCCCGAGAGAGGGAAGCACTACCTGCACACGCTGAGGAGAGTGCCGTTTATTCTCAATGAACAGAAAGTGTTGGGAGCAGAATTGACCTCCACAAGAGGCAGGCACTCCAGTGCCCCAGGACACGAGGTTCTTGGCTTGAGTCTGAATCATTCCAGTGATCAATCATTTAGGAAGCACCTGCTGTGTGCCGGTGCCCTTCAAGCTCTGGGGATACAAAGGAAGGCCAAAAGAGCCCCTGCCTTCACAAGAAGCTTACATTCTAATGGGGCAATTACTTCTTGGTAGAGCTGGACTGAAAGACCTCTTTTATGTATCCTGTCCCATCACTGTACAAGGTGCTCTGTATACTATAAAGGTCAAAATCCTCAAGGAGGGACGCAGTGAAGTTCTGACATTCTCTTCTGCTTTGTTTTGTTTTTGTTTCTCATTTCATGTTTTTGGTGCTTCCTGAATTTCATCCTGTTATACCTTAAATTGGGTTAGGCAATGCCTCTGAGAATATTGGGGTTTACATCAGTAATTCATATATAGGATAATTCTTAATCTGTCCTCCCCCTAGTGTTGAGGTCATTTGAATGGAGAAAATGGCTATTTTAAGGAGTGAGAACAGGTCAGTCATTTGGATCCCAGATTTCTTTGAGGATGGGGTCACTGGGAGGAATCTTGGAGTAGTTTGAGGTTCCTGAGTTACCAGGGACAGTCATTGCTAGATCATGAATGAGATGAAAGTAAGGCTGACAGTTCAGAATTGGGAAAAACTGCTCATCTGTAAGGAGGCTTTGAGGCCCCGGCCCTCCTGTGTGGCCTTGGCTCAGATGCCAGAAACCCAGCTAATGCTGTTACTAGTTCAGCCGGAGCAGCTCTTAGGGCCTTGGTGGGACGAGATCCCCTCTTTGTAATATTCTTTCTTTGGGGGAAATGTAACTCTTGAGCTAGACAGCTGACTTACAGCTACAGTTAGCACAGTGGGGCCCTGCTGCATCCCAGGCACGGGCTGGCGTGTACTTAGGTGAGGTCCAAGCAATGATCTCCTCTCTGCACAGCCCAGTAAACTTAGCCTGTGCCACTGACCAGCTCCCTGGGACGCTAGCGGCGCAATCAGCTTCTCCAGGTCAGACTTATTTCTGATAGATGAGAGATATAAAAATGCTACAAATTCTTTAGGGAAAGGGGAGTCTATTATCTATAGTATAAGATCTTTTCTGCATTTTGAAGATAGTGTAATAACTTTAAAGGGCTTGATGGGAGTAATACAATACATTTAGTGATGAAGTTAGGGCTGCGATTCAGGTCTGTTCTCTGCCCCTTCCACTGCTGTTTTCATCCTGTTTCATTCAACAAACCACTGTTAAGCCCTTGCTGTGGGCCAGTCACTGTGTTGGGTACCAGGGATCCAAAGATGAAATATTCAGTTTCTGTCCTTGAAGAGTTTGTAGGACGTATGTGCAGAAAATAGCTGGACTACACATTGGAATCTGAAGACTCTGATACCACGAGAGGCAGGGGGCCCTGTGGAAAGAGCTCGAGATAGGGGACCATAGATATGACTGGCTTCCTCTTCTGCAGAGTACAGATTTGGGCCATGTGGTCTCTAGGGTGTCATCCAAGGAAGAAGTACCAGCAGCAGGGAGGCGGCAGAGCCCTCGCCTTGGGGGAGTCAGCCCCAGGACGAGGCAGCGTCCCCAAAATTGTGACCTCAGACCCAGCAGATGCTGTACTAACAGTGATGGCAGAGGCAGGATCCCCTAAGAGCTCAGCAGGTTAGAAGCCTGGGCCCAAATCAACAGAAAACATCTAAATGGCAGAAATACCTGGTCTTGCATTTAGGATCAATGGTGCCCATCTGCAGCAGTGCTGGGCCTCAGCAAAGGGCAGTTTGTGTGGGGGCAGGGCAGAGAGGAGGAGGAAGAAGAGGCTGCACCAATCAGCTTCCCTGGGGGAAGGCCTCTGGGGAGCTTGATCATTAGGAGGAAGTAGGGAGGTTTCAGAGAAGCCTTAGGGCAGACAGGATGCTTGTCAGGATGTCCGTGTGAAGAGGGGCCCTGCTTGCCCACAGAGGGCCTGCAAACAAGGCCTGGCTCAAACAAGGCCTGGCAGGAGCCACAGAGCAGCAGCTGACCTCAGAGCCAGAGGCCTCGAGGGGGCTGTGGGCAAGGCTGGGGTGTCTGTCCTTGGCCTGAGGTCAGGCCTTTGTCTCTCAGAGCCTCCATTTGTCCTTGGTTGTTCAGTGGGAACTTGCAGAGGGTGATGGGGTTGTGGGCCCTCGTGTTTAACCCTTTCTTCCCCTCTCTGTTTTTCCTTCAGCGAGGTCTGCCAAAGCCTGGTGAATGCTCACTACACGGTTCAAGGGCCTCTCCCGCTGCTGAGGCTGCATCTCCCTTCCCGGAGCCTTCACCACCTGCGTCCTCTGCCGGCCAGACCTCGGAGGCCTCAGCTCCCGGGCTCGCGTCAGCCCTTCTCCTCCCTCGGTCCCCTCCCTCTCCGAAGATGGAAGCTCTCTCCAGCCAAGCCCGGCTACCAGCCACGGAGGCACTTCTGGCCGGCCCGCCTGGCGGCCAGGCTCCTCCGGCTCCGCTACCTGCTCTTGGGCTCGGCGGTCGGTGGCGGCTATACAGCCAAGAAGGTATGCAGAGGGTGCGGTGGCGAGCCAGCGGCCTCTCGTGGGATTGCCTGCGTCAGCCGTCATGTTCTCTGAGGCTTGGCTTCTCTACAGTGGGGCTAAAATGTTCGGATACGAAGGTGGGGGTTTGCCCAGCATGGAGCTCCCGGCTGGTCTCACTGTGCTGCTCTGAGGGCTGCCAAGCGCTCGGCAGAGCCGGCAGGGGAGGGCTGTGGGATCCCTGTGTTGCAGAGGAAGGTGAGGCTGCACGGGTGAAGTGACTTGCTGGGTCATAGGGCTTTCCGCTTCCGTGTCTGGCGCTCCGTTCCCCGTGCCTGGCTCCCACTCGTGGGGACACCTCGTGCATTTGTGAGCATCTGTAGCAGTGGCTGCTGCTGTTCAGGCGCAGGGTGGGCGAGCTTGGGGCCTCCAAGGTTCTTTGGTTTGATGGACCTAGAAGGCTGGGCAGCAGCCTCATGCTCTCAGTCCCAGTTTATTAGTGTCAGGGCTAGGGTCAGGAGTGGGCTGTCCTGATTCCCACAGCCGTGCTTTGCCCACCTGATGGACCAGGGAATGAGCGTGTTGGCCTGTCCTTGTCCATGGAAATCTGGGTGAGGTCTGTCCATTTGTACCCGCGGTTAGCGACTCACACGGACAAGTCCTTGGGGGCTGGAGAGACCTCTGTCCCTTTCAGCCGCCTCCATGCAGGGTCTGAGGCTCGCTTTGCTCTGGCTTTTGTCTCCTAGACCTTTGACCAGTGGAAGGACATGGTGCCCGACCTCAGCGACTACAAGTGGATCGTGCCTGACTTTGTGTGGCAGCTGGATGAGTACATCGACCTGGGTGGGTGCCTGCCGCCCCTCCCCCGCCCCACCCCCAGATTTTATGAGTTGTTGGCATGATGCTGTGTGGTCACCTGGCTTTGTTAAGATGCTTGTTGCTCAGTCCTGCCTAGGCCTGGCTCACATGGCTTTGCATAGACCTCCTGCCTAGAGCATTTGGAAAGCGATTTTCGACCATTAACTTGACTTTGTTGCTATTTCAACAGCAGGTCTGGAGCTGGCCACTGTTCTTTTCCAATTACTCCTGACAGGGTGGCTGTAAAACCCTCATTCTGAGAGAATGCTCTCTCGGGGGAAGATCCACGCCTGGTGTGAATGCTGGTGCGCTGGAAGAGAGCAAAGGATGCAGTACTGCACGTCAGTCCTGGTGCTAGAGCGAGGGGGGAGGGGGCTCTAGACCTGCCACACTGTTCCAGGTCCAAAATGCATATCTCATTTGTGCTGTGCAAGCTTGCTAGTTTACAGAAAGGAGGGCTTTTCTTTTTAAATTTTGGTGAGGCAGTGGGGTTAAGTGACTGGCCCAGGGTCTGGATTTGAACTTGGGTCCTCCTGACTCCAAGGCTGGAGCTCTATTCACTGCTCTACCTAGCTGCCCCCAAAAAGGCTTTTGAGGATAATCACTAGCCTTGAGGAGAGAAGGCTCAGGACTGCATCCTGGCTATTTCTCCATGACTTTTTTCTGCCTCAGATGCTGGTTTCATTTGGTCTTTTCCCAGGACATCTCCCCACGCGCACACCTGTGCACACCACAGGATTCACTCACACACACACACACACACAACACACACACACACACACACACACACACCCTTCACTCCTCCCTACCAGGAGGGACACTTTGCTTTCCTTTTCACTCATCCTGGTCTTAGATGCCCAGGATGTCCTCAGCTCACGCTGACAGTTCTGGTGCTCTGGAGCTGGGGCGGCTTTGACCTGACCACTGGTCCAGAGAAATAGCCTGATGTTGGTACAGATCACAGGGTGTCTGAGGAGCCGTTGTGATAATTTCTTAACACACAGTTAATTAAACCTGTTTTGCTACATTCTGCTCCTGAATTATCTCCGGTGCATCAGACATCTGACTCTGGCCCACCCTCCGTTCCCATTCTCCTTTACCTTCCTCTTACCGGTTGTCAGCAATGTGAGCTTGGGTCCTGGCCCTGGTCCACTTTGCGTCATCTCCAGATGGCTGTGTGTTCCCCAGGTATCTCTGTCCTGATTGACTCTGTTGTGTTGATGGGAGGCTCTTTCTTTGGTCCCTCTCCTGTTGTTGGACAGTGATATTGCTTCCGGTGTCGCTTGACTAGTGATGTTCCAGGCGAGTCTGGAACAGGCAGAGAGAGAGAGAGAGAGAGAGAGAGAGAGAGAATGGGGGGGGTCAGGTGGGTCTCGGTGCCTGATTGGGCTGAGTGGGAAGCCTAGGATCCTTGGTAGGTAAGAACCAAGTTTGGTTACCATCCTTAATCCATTGCCTTAAGAAAGGCCAGAGCTGCTGTTCTGCCCATTTCCCTAAAGGGAAAGCTTAGGGAGAGTCCTAGGCCTGACAGACACGCTGCTGTGGTGGCTTGCCATTTCCTTCTCCAGGGAGGGCTTACTTCTGGAATCATTTTTAGTTGAACTAGAAAGGAGATTTTAAATGGGGTTTCCCAAAACATCAGACTATTGGTGTAATTTGATACTACCAGAGTGCTTAGCAAATATGCTTAAACGTCTGATATCTAGCAGATCCAAGCCTCTTGACCAAGTACTGATGGCCAGAAACAATTCATGGTCGAAGACGTAAGATTAGCTCCCCACCCCCAACTCCATCATTTGTATTCTCATGTAGTAGCAATAAAGATCAGAGGAAAAAAACTTCCTTTGCATCAATAAAAAAAAATAGCAGTTATTTAGAACTTAGCAATTTGTAGGACCTGTATAAAAAACTACAGTAATGGAAATGCCCCCATCATTGCAGAGGAAAATAAAGGTTAACTCCTTTACTTTAATTATAAAGGATATTTTTAATTTTATTTTAATTTTATAATTAATTTTAATTCTTTAATTATAAAAGATAATTGAAGGTACATTTAGTGTTCATGAATCAGTATGGTTAATATAGTTAAAATGATGGTACTTTCCAAATGAATATATCTGTTTAGCACAATACCAATAAAAATACCAAGGATTTTCTGTTTTGTTTTTTATTAAACTGGACCTTTCCAACGTTGAGGTTCTGTAATTCCATTCTTATTAAATTTCTCTAGAGAACAGTGGCCCAAAATACTAAGAAGCAAGGGTGGGACAGGGATCAAGACCGATTGGGTGTTCTCGCAACCCCCTAATTAACAACAAAATGCCGAGCAAATGTCATCCAGGAAAAGAATAGAAAAAGCAGTTCCAAGGAAGAGAATGAGTTCCCTGGCATCTAGTCAGTTATTTACCAGAGATTAGTGTTTGCTCGGTCTGTGGAGAATGAAGCCTGCAAAAAAAGATTCATTAATTAACAAACATACTTGGGGACAATTGCTGAATAGTTTGTCAGGAAACAAATATATACCCATATCTCATTTTCCAAATCTTAGCAAATTCCAGGTTCTTGGTAGACTATTTTTTTTAAGAAAAGAGAAAATCAGCAAAACCAGAAACGTCTGGAAATACGTGGTGTCCACAGCCCAGGACTCTCCCCTTGGGGTAGGGGTGGGGGGCCACCTCGAAGCGCTTCTGTCTCTTCTTGGCATCAGTCTTGTTCTCTGCAAGCTCACACTGTCCATTGTGATAGGTGTGTAGTGACCCACCTATATGGTTGTCGTGACTGTCCATCGGGTTCTTGGGTCTTCCATGGCTTCACTCTTCCCCAGTTCAGAGAGGTCTCTCCATGCTTTCTGTCCAGATCATGGTGTCTTTTCTTACAGCGCGGTGCTCTTCCATTACACTCTCAGACCACTGGTGACTCGCTCCTCAGTCAGAGGGCAGCTACTTGGCTTCCAGTTGCTTGCTACCACAAGCATGCTGCTGCAGATGTTGTAGTATATACGGGGGCCTTGTTAGCAATGCCCTCCTCTGGGTCAAAGGGCACAGACATTTTAGGCTATTTATATGCATCGCTCCAGATTGCTTTCCCGATTGATCCCCAGCTTCACCAGCCACGCACCAGTGTTCCTGTCTCCCCCCACATTAACTGTCCCTGTCTTTTGTCATCTTAACCAGTTTGCAGACTCTGTGTGTGTGTGTGTGTGTGTGTGTGTGTGTGTGTGTGTCTGTGTGTTGGGGGGTTATTTGCATTTCTTGTCTTATTAGTGATTTGGAACGTTTATTCATGTGATTGTTACTAGTTTGCAGTTCTTCTGAGAACTGTTTATGTTCTTTGACCATTTATCTGTCAAGAGTAGCTTGTGTGTGTTTACATATGTTATACATAGATAACTGTTTAGTTTTCTGTATGTCTTGCATACTAAACACCTGTCTGATAAGTTTGATTCAAAGATTTTCCCCCCATTTGATAGCTTCTCTTTACCTAGTAAATGCCTTTTATTTGTGTGGAACCTTTTAAGTTTTATATGATCAAATTTTATCTTCCTTCCTCTGTCCCTTGTTTGATTAAGAATAGATTTCCTACCCATAGCTTTGAAAGGAACACTACTTCTAATGTTTTATCATTTGATCTCCAACATTAAAGTCATGAAGGTATTTAGAATGTGTTGTGGAGTATGGTACTAGGTGTTGGTCTAAGCAGTTTTTATCCGGTCAGGAGTTCTTTTCTAAGTAATTTATATTCTTAGTTTATTGAACATGAGATGGTTAAGTTCCGCTGTTTCTAGTTGTCTTGTGTCTATTCTGTTCCCCTGATCTGTTTCTCTGTCTTTTAAGCAATCCCAGATGGTTTTGATGGCTGCTGTCATATCATAGTTTGAGATCCCCCTTCATTCCTACCTTTTCCATTATTTCCTTTGATACCCTAGATTTTTCCTTTCTCCAGATGAATTTTGTTATTATTTTATCGTGTTTTGTGTTTTATTGATATGTCATTAAAAATGTAAGTAAACTTTGGTAGTACTGTCATTTTCATTATATTGGCACAGCCCAACCATGAACAATGAATAACCCTTGAGCTATCTAAGTTGTTCTTTATTTCTTTGAGGAGCTCTTTGTGATTGAATCTCTACAAATGTTTTGTGTGCTTCTTTTTATAGTTATTTGGACTAGGATTTCTCTTATTATTACCACTTAGATTTTCTTATTGTATAGAGATGCTGCTGATTTTTGTGGATTGATTTCGTAGCCTGCAATTTTGCTGAAGCTATTGAGATGGTAAAATTGAAAATTTTAAAAAACTACAAAAATATGGAAGTAAATTGAGTAATATACTTGTCTTAGTCATGGAGGGGAGATAACTTTTCCCATTCAGCAAATGGAAGTAATTAGAGATAAGAGAAAGAAAAGTACTTGATAACATTGAAATGAATTTTTACATGAAAAAAATAATGATTAGCATCAGAAAAGAACAGCAACAGATTAGGGACAACTAAAAACTTGATTTCTGAAACTGTATTAAGAGTCACAAGTTCACAGAGAACTTTGTGTTTGCCCTGTCGGCCCAGTGGTTGTCCTGTGGCTTCGCTACTAGTTGTGGCAGGTACACGGAGGCACCACCTCACATTCACATCTCCAGTTTGGTTCTTTTTCTCCGGTGGGGTTGTGGAACAGAGATGCCTTTGTTCTGATAAGACGCGAGCACTTTTTCCAGGCTGTAACTAATGGGGATATTTCTTTACTCTTCTCCAGAGAAGCTTAGTAAGGCCCTTCCAGATTCGGAATCCCTGGCGAAGCTGCTTCCAGACTTGGACAAGCTCTCGGGAAGCTTCAGCCTGCTCAAGGACTTCTTCTCCACAGGTGAGGAGGCTCGCTTTCATGTGCTTTTGTACGAGGTCACAGCAGCAGAGGAACACATGTCGGCTCCAGGGCTGTCCTGGATTTGAAAGGGAAGTGTCAGGAGGTGAGGCCGGGCAGCCCCTGAGTCCTGGGGAGTCTTTCTGAGGGAGTGGGATGTGTCAGCAGAGAACGGATAGACAAAAAGCCTTATATTCACATTAAAGATGTGCTCCCCAGGTAAATGGGCGCAGGGAATCTGGCTGACGACTTTTGAAAAGCATCCCAGCGAAACAAAGTGGGTTTAACAGGTAGAATCTTCTCTTTGTTTTAAGTTTTTTTCTTTGTCTTTAGTGGTTGATTTAAAATGTTATCTTGACAAACATTAAGCTACAGAGAAACAAGTTCTCTTTAAACAGTTTGTAAAACTGCAGGAGCCTGGCATTTCCTAATTCCACCTCTAACCCTGGCCCTGCTTCTGTTTCTAAGCCTGGTCCCTAGGCCAGCCCATGGAGGGATTTCTGCATTTAATAAAGTTGACCCATGAACTGCCCATGCTCTGGGCAGGAACGTGCAGGCATCCTTCGCAGCCACTCACCGAGTGGGAGCGGGTCCTTCCTCATAGGTTCAGGCTTCACCCAAGCTCCCGGCAGCACAGGGAGCAAGCCACATGCTCTTTTCCTTGGATGGAGCGTCTTGCTGTCCATGGACCAAAGGCCGAGTGCAGAGCAGGAGCAAAGGTCTCCTTGAGCCCTTGGGTGAAGGGCGCCTTGCCTTCAGGGGAAGCCCATCCTGGGCAGCTCTTTCCTCTAGCTAACTGTGCTGATTCCCCGGATCCGTGACAGAAGGAAGCCGACTGGTGCAGGGGCGCTGGGCCTGCGAGTTCAAATGCGGCCTCTCTTCCCAGAGACTGGGTGACTAAGAAAGTCGCTGGACCATTTCACCCTCAGTTTCCTCATCTGTAAAATAGGGATGATAATAATAGGACCTCCCTCGCAGGGGCATTGTGAGAGTCTCATGAGATGACATCTGTAAAGTGTTGTGCAAACCCCAGAGGGCCGTGCGAGGCATGGGGGAGGCCGAGGCAGACACTGAAGCCTGCGGTGCTGTGGAAATCTGCTGCTGACAGGGACACTGACTGTGGCCTTCTGGGCTCCATCCAGGCCACTGAGGTTGGTGGGGACCGTCAGGATTTCAGTGTTTTCTACCTTTATCCTTTGTAACGCATCCCAGCAATAGTGGAGAGGTGTGGCCTCATTAGGGTGCACCTGCCGTCTACAGGAGGGCTCAGGTGTCGAGGGCCTGCCTGTGTGCAGCCAGGAGTCCAGAAGGAGGATGAAACTTCAGGTTTGGTTGGAAGAAAACCCACCCTTGCAAAACATGAGAGTAGTCCTCTACTAAACAGGTGAGAGGAACACTCTCGGGGAGCAGGGGCTCGGAACGAATGCAGAAAAGGCAGGGATGGAGGCTTCATCGAGGAGGCTGGGGTGGGTGTAGATCAGTTCAGAAATTAAGAAACATGTATTATGCCCACACTGTGTGCTCCGTGCTCTGCTAGTCTGGGGGAGAGATCGCTGGGCTAGATAGCTGGAGAGGCGAGGGCTTGCTGTCAGCTCCCCGTGCCTGGACCCCTACATGCCACAGCGGATAGAGCGTGGGCTTAGGAAGACCTGGGCTCAGATCTGACCTCAGACACTTCCTAGCTGTGGGACCCTGGCAAGGTGCTTCACCACCACCTGCCTCAGTTTCCTCAACTGTAAACTGATAGGGTGGTTGTGAGGATCCCATGGAGTCACAAGGCCTGGAATACAGCAGGTGCTTAATAAATGCTTGTTCCCTTCTTTCCCTCCATTGGAAGGAGGGGTGGAGCTGGGCACCAGTGAAATCCTGCTCAACAAGATGGCTCCTGAGTTGAGCCTTGGAGGAGACCAGAGATCCTAGGGAGTGTAGATAACGAGGGAGCTCATGCCTGGGCTGGAGTAACAAGGTCACTTTCGCTTGGCTTGGAGGATGGACTGGAAAGGGGAAAGGCAGGAACCAGCGAATCCAGCTCAATCGAACAAATCCTTAGCAAGCCCCTTCTTTGGTGTGCAGCACCATGGCAAGCCTGCCCCTGTCCCCAGTGGCCTTCCGTGCTACTGGAGGCTGTGGCCAAAGTCCAGGGCAGAGATGGCAAGGGCCTGGATTAGGGCATGGCTGTCGGCGCCGGGAGAAGGGACTGGTGCGAAAGGTGTGGGAGGAGATTCAGCAGGGCCTGCCCCGTGATGTTTGTGGGGACTGCGGGAGGGGGAGGAATCAGAGAGGAGTTGGGGTGACTGGCAGCGTGGGGTGGGCCCCTTACACAATTAGGGAGGCTTGGAGGGGGACAGGTTTGTATAGCGCTATCCCTGGAGAAGTTTCTTAGTAATCCCCCTGGTGTGAATAGAAGGAGGTTGGGTTGAGTGAGAGCCAGCTGGTGTCAGAGCAGAGCTGTGTCTGGAACATCTCCTTCCCCTTCCTTTGCCCTATCATGTCTATCACTGCGAGTGCATTTGTCTTCTTTTCACAACTGAGCTCAGTAGCACGTTTTTAATTTTTTGTTCTTTAAAAAAAAATTGAGTGATAGAAAGTATGTGATGAAGAAATAATGAAAAGTAATGAAAAATGCCTTAGAAAGACAACTCACAGATGCCAGTTGAATTTTGGGTTTAGGAGTATGGCCAGGATGGTGTGAGACTTTGAGCTCGTGTCAGATATGGGTCAGGAACAACTCAGGAGTTGGGAAGGCCCTCTTGTTTGTCGAAGAGACGTTGGACTTGGCCTGGCCCAGACAAGCTAGCGGCTGTGTGCATGTGAATGTCATAAGGAGCTTCATTCCGGCTGCTTTCCCATGAGAGCACCCTTCCCAAGGGCTGGCCTGCCTGCCATCCATGGGCTCAGTCATTCAGAGTCTCTGGGTGGAAGCCGGGGGATGGTTGCTGTTGTGGGGTGCGAGTGGAATCCTTTCTGAGCTCTGCAATATTGTGAATTTGTGAAATATTTAAAAATTCATAGACAGGGCACAGTCTGGCTTCAGGTATTGGGGGAAAATAACCGAGCAGTGGCAGGTTGGTGAGACGTTGGGGGGTTGGCTCTTGATGACCAAATTATCTCACTAAATGATGTCGCTGCTCCTTGAATGGCTCGGAAAGCCCTTTGGTGGGAAGGACCACGTTGGGGGGACCCAGCCCTTTGCTGCTCCGTGGGGGTCAGGCAGGCTCCCACGTTCATGTGCATTTCACGTTATTTTTCATTTCCCCTTTTGCTGATTTTTCACAGGTCACACATTGGTTAGTGAAGTCACAGGAGTTTCTGACCCACTTCTGTTGTTAGGTGTGTACAAGGCTCTCTGTGCTGACCTCTGCGTGCCTCTCCATGTTTCTGATACACTAATTATAAATCAGACCGGGAATGCTGCTTTGATAATCCTTCTGGATTCCAGAACCCAGAATTCTCAAGCAAACTTGGTGGCAATGAAGTCCTTCCTTCATGGGAGAACAAAAATTCTTAGTCATGTGTCTCAGTAGTCAAATGTTCCAAATTGTTTGCTTGGCCAAAACACCTTCTCAAAGTGTTCCACAGAGCTCTTCATATCAATGTGAAAAGTAATTTTGGGGTGTCTCATCTGCTTTGTCATGGCTGGCACTTAAAATTTGGTCTTTGCCCTGTGTCATTTTGATATCTAATATCTGTTCTTACGCCTGGCAGCTGTCAGTATTCTTACCATAAATGATCCTAACTCAGGGTTCCTTGTTTATTCCCTGCTGGAATTACTTGCCACGTTTTCTCAAATAATGCTGTAAAGTGACATCTCCAATTCTGAGTAAATCACTGGTCGTTTTTCCTGAGAAAATCGAGCATGATCTTCAGCGGGCCGTCGGCTACTTTCAGCCTGGATGCTGAGCTGCTCTCCTAGTCACCCTTTTGACCAGATGTAGTTTGGGGTTTGGAGCCACTGTGGAGAGAGTGAGAGATCACAGGTGCACGTGTTTGTCTTCCAGGTACCTCGGGAGAGACAGCGTTTCGAGCGACAGATGCATCAGAAAGCGACAGGCAGTTTAAGAAGGTAAGAAGGAAGGGAAAGCCCTTTCATTCTGTGTGTCTGTGAATTCTGAGGCATCCTTCATCTCCTGGGTGTCCTGGGAGGATGGAAGGGCTTGACATTTCCCTTAATACAGTACGTCATGAAGCGGGATCTGCTGAGCAGAGTGATTCCCAAGAGCACAGGATCTGGGCTGGGCAGAGTTCTGAGATGCCCACCCCCGAGTGCTGACTCCTGGGCAGGATCGGCACAGATCCTCCCGGAGGATGGTCATCAATGCCATAGGGCGTGTGCATCCTTTCTGTGTATTGTGGATAGGACGTGGCTTTGTGGGCATGGGAACTCCCATTGGGAAAATGCTGCCGCTTGTCCAGTTGGTACCTGTTTAGCCAGAAAGGCCCAGGGCCTTGGTGAGGATGGCACAGCAAAGCTGTGGAGGAGGCCTGCTGGAGGGCCGGCAGATCCGAGGCCAGGCCTCAAGCCCTGCTGTGGGCTTATCGTCCTACATTAAAACCCACACTTGTTTCCCGTGGGGGCACAAACCACACGTTCAAGATTCCATGAAAAACATTTTTATTTTTTAAAATATGTTTTGAATGAGAAGATTTTCTTTTAGAGTTAGGTGATATTTGGCTTTTTCTTTTTGCAGGGAGGTATTAAAGTGTAGTATTTTTGAAAGGTTCCTGATCTTCTCATGGTATTAATCACAGGGAAGGAAGAGAGGAGTTCCCTTTTGTGGTGTGCTCAGCCACAGGCTTCAGTTTGGGGAAGAGTTTTTAGTTCATCCTTTTCCTGTGCTCTCTTTCACCTGGATTTCAAGCCTTACTGGCAGAGGAGTATGAGGTCAGCCTTCATCATCTGCACCATTGAGGAGGGAGATGATGACGAGTCAGCAAATGGCAGACATCTGGAGCCGTGAGACTGAGGAAGGCCCTCCGATTCACCCCCCCTTTTGTATGTTTGAGGATGCCGAGGCTATGGGGCCAGTGGCTGTCCATTAGCTTTTGCTTTATGCACATTATCCCAGGGAATGTGCAGAAATCTGGTGCCCTCAGCTCACTGAGATCTGTGTTTCTATTACCTGTTCCCTTCAGGGTCAGGAATCAGTTCTGTTTGGGGATTGAAGTTGGTGAAGAGCCCTCCAGCACCGCTGGGTTAGAGGGTTCATCCTTTTTGGGATTTGGTGCCAGTGAGACCAGCTGGGAGGAGGGAGCAAGAACACAGATCACAGAGGGGGCGGTCAGGGGCGGGGGCTGGTGGCCCCGCGCATGTTTGTTGTTCCAATGACAGGCTTTGCTTGTTTCAAGTTAATTCCTTGTTAAAATGATATTTTCAAGGCACAGCATTCTTGTTTGCTTATTACATGCCTAAATAATTTTTCCCCCTTTTTATTATGAAAGTTGAGTCTTAGACATGAAGAGATTCACTACAGGTTACCCCACATGACAGGGGGTCATGCTGAGATGCAAAGTCTCTGTGTCACAGAGATTCCTGAGCCCCCACCAGTAGTCCTCTCTGAATAGTTTGTGTGCATCCAGTTTCAGTGCGGCAAAGGTCAGTGGACAGCTCGCAGGCTGTTGGTGTCACAGGCGTCTGTGATTGTAAGATTGATGTATAAGTAGCGTCTGATGGTAATGAGGTGGTCCATCAGACCACACTGACAGACAGATTGTTCCATTGGGCGCTTCCCCACGGCAGGCCTTGGGGCTCAGCAGAGGTGTCAGACCCCGGTGTGGTGTGGCTGGAGCCCGAGACCTGAGGTAGCCCTGGCCCACGGGGCCTTGGCCGGAAAGAGATGACACAAGAAGGGGTGACTAGACGTTTGGTCAGCACGTGATAGGAAGGAGACAAACACCAATAACAACCAGAGTTGGCTGCCAGGAGATACCACCAAGGCATAATTTGCAGAAAACTTTTCCCAAGCTGGAGGCTCATTGAGGGACTGCCGAGCACTCAGAGAAGGCAGGTGTCAGCTGAGTCACGGGCTGCGTGTGTGACCTTGGAACGACCAGAGACCTCTTGGCACAGTTAACAGGAGCGGACGGGCCCTCCCGAGGATGAGAAGCTCTGTCCCCAGGCATCCCTGCGAGGTGGCCACCCTCCCTGGTCTCCAGTTGGGTGTGCCCGTGTTCTGTGGGGCTGTCCATTTGTAGCGGACACCTCAGTCACAGAACTGAAGAGGCTAAGGGTCTGTAAGCGACCTGGCAGTGCAGAGAAGTGTGCTCCGAGTGTCCGGGTGTGTCCCCGCCGTCACTGTCCAGGCACGTGGCCATCCTCAGACCATTCAGCAGGTTCAGGACTCGGTGCTGTCTTGGGCACAAAGGAGACACCTTTGGGGTCTTTTCCTTCATTTGTCTCCTGGCTTTTGTTTTTAGGTGGACGAGTGAAGCTTCGTGCTCCCCGAGCAGCAGCTGGCATCCACCCCTAAATGCCTGCCCCACTCCTGGCTGATGGTCTTTCGGTGGAGAGCAGACGGGCACTGCCCAGATGGGAAGATGGCACCCGGGAAGCAGCCTGGACCAACTTTTTCCACCTGTTTTTACCCCCTCTCCTTGTAGGATGGATTGGGGCAGTTACTGACTAGCTTGGTTTACATACTTCCTCTCTCTCATTGAGTTGATCATTTATTGATCACAAGAGACGATACTTGTAAAGATTCGGTGCCTGGCACACGGGGGCCTGTGTAAAGTGATCCTGGCCTTCCTTCCTTCCTTCCCTGCCCCTCTCGTTCCACTGAGGCCACACATGCTCTGAGAGTTGCCTGAGTCCTCACATGGGCCAGTTTAAACAGTTAAAATGCTCCTCTGTTTCTCTGTGTAACCTCGAGGCTGCCCTGCATCTGCCTTGTATTTTGCTGAGGAGAAATAAGAATTTAACGTAATTATTCTAAGCCGAATCCCAGCAGCCGTCCCATCCAGGTCAGTCCATAGACGAGAAGGAATTTCTAAGAGAACATGCCTCATGAGGGGCTATCTCGCCTCTGCCCGCTTCCAGGCAGCCGGCCTGCTCTGGTTCAGTTCTTGTTCGGAATCTTTTCCTGGCCTCATCCCGAGTTGGCCTCTCACAGCTTCTGCTCTCCGGGCCAAGCAAGACCATCTCCTCCGTCCTCCACGGGAGACAGCCTTCTGCTTGCTTGGAGAAGGTCTTTTGTTCCCCGAGTCATCCCTAGTTCCTTCCACTATCATAGGCCATGATGGCAGCAGCCCCTTTGCCCACCTGTTGCCCTCTTCTGGACACTGGTCCAGAATGGAAGCCTTCACAGCAAAGTGTCGTCCATGGTGCCCAGAGCATAGACCAATGGAGGAAAAGCCCACAGAGCCAGGGCGGAAAGTCAGTCAGGGCTGCCAGCATCCCCGTGAGTTGCAGGGAGGAAGCCCGAGCTGGAATGATAGGCCATAGGGAGCAGCTGAAGAGGAAGTGGGCAGGGACAAGCAGTAATCTGGCTTAGCATGGTGTTTCTGGCCAGTCTGCTGGTCTGCGTCGCTCTCATCTCTCTTCTAGCATCTCCTCCATGAGACTTGGTCAGAACGTTGTCCTTTGAGAAGAAGGTGGTTTTGCTGTTGGCACAAAGGATGGGTTTAGGCCTAGGGAAGTCTGTGTGGAACCCTTTTGACCGTCTGACGTCCTTGGAATTTCACTTCGACCTCAAGCATCAACAGGAGCGAGTGGGTGAAAGTCTTTGCATGCGTGTGCATCGACATTTGAAGTTCTGTCTGCTTTTGGGAATCCTCATACATGTGGTAAAATACAGCCCAGTCATCTGGAGCTGAGCCTGTGGCAGAGCCCAGTGCGGGCAGGAGGAGTCGGGGTCCATTTTAGCCATGAAAGAATTTAACCGTCATTCAATGCTTCCTGTGTGCACAGAGTGCTCCATGAGGCCCTGAGGAAGATCTCGTCTTCATGGAGCCTATGGGTAGTCCAGGTGGGCAAGCAGCACCAGCGACAGAAAACAATCCGTGTTTGGTGCGTAGTAGGAGGGAAGGAGAAGCGCCATGGGAAGTCTGAGGGGAGAAGAGTGACTGAGCCTCAGGCGAGCTTTCCTGGGGCCTTGGGGCACACGTGGGGATCGCCAGTCCTTTTGTCTGCAGTGCAGAGTGTGTAAAAGGGAGGGATAGGAGACGGCTTGGCTCCAAGGGTGCCCACATGCAGAAAACCTTCGAGGCTGGGCACAGGGACGTCGTGAGGCATCGCCTGTGCTGTGCTTGGGCCCCCGGGAGGATCGTCTGCTGGTCTGGGGGCACGTGGATCAACAGCCGCATGGAGAAGGCCTGGAGGTCATGACAGCTGAGTGTTGGTCGAAGGGAGATGTTGGTCTGGAGAAGAGAGGACTGGGGTGCGATTGCTGTCTTTGAGGCTTGGGAAAGAGGATTCTGTTGGTTCTGTTGGGCACCAGAAGTTGGCAGAGGCAAATTTATGCCTGATCAGAGGAAACATTTCCTAACAGTGCCAATGGACCCCAGGTTGAGCGGTGCCTTGCAGGGGGTCCGGGCCCCTCTCAGTTGTTAGTGACGTGGCCTCCCACGTCTTCCAGGGAGCTGCGGAGTCACACGTGTGGGGACAGCATCTCTTCAGTGAGGAGGACCTTCTGAGTTTGAGGCTCATAGGAAAAGTTTGTTAAATGTGTTTACTTTTCCGGATGTGACAGTGGAATTTTCAGTGTGGTTGTTTGGGTCTCTGAGGCTCCTGCCAGTTTTGTTGCTCTAGCATTCCAAGTGAAGAAAGGAGAGCATGGTCAGGGCTTGTTCCTGTCTGCCCCCTACTTAAATCACGGCATCTGGGTTACTCCATCATGGACATCACCACCTTTCACAGGGGCTGGGGAGGAGGATTCTTGAGTACTGTCGATCCAAAATGTCTTGCCTTGAATTTTCAATTTATATGTTTACTTTTTAAAATGATTTTGACATGTTTTAAAGCTGTATTCTTGAAGTTAATAAATACATTGTGGAAGGTAGCATCTCCTTACCCTTTTTAATCAGCATTGCCCGGTTTTGATTTGAGGGCTTTGGGTGTCACCAGGAGGCACTGTCAAATCATTTTGTGTTTAAGAGAAGTGTTTTGTCCACTAAAATGGAGAAGCCACTCTTCTGGCAAAAGAATGCGTATGTTGAAATATTGTAGCATACACCTTTGGTTTTGTACCTCATTCTTTTCTTCCCAACTTTGTAGGAAGTAATACTGTTAATTTGAGCTGTCTTCCTGGGACAGCCTGGGAAGAAAAGCAGGTGTTCCTAGGAGGAGGGCTTGGCCATCTCAGAGCTTAGAGTTCTTCCTGGCCTCTTTCACTGCTTCACACACCCGTGTTGGGGAGCCTCCTTAGAAGCTGATGAGCGTGTAATGCACCTAATGGCAGGAGATTAGAGAGATGTTTTCCCAGGTGTGGACAAAGCTGGTACGCCATCACCAAGCAAAGTCGGTGAGGTCCCCAAAGCCAGTGAACTCCACAGATTGGACGCTTTTTCTGTTTTGGTTGGGGACAGACAGTGGCATGATGAAGTCAGCCCTCTGGGGCAGGTAAGGACGGATAGAGCAAATGAATCATGAGTAGCCTTTGTCCTGGTGCCTTTCTCCTCCATCACTGACTGAATTTCAAAGGTATGTTGTCACACTGAAGCTGATTACTTTATCATTTTTATTAGTGAAATACACAGTTTTAAAATTGGAAGTAATTGCTAAAAACCCAGCTGTTTTCATACAAAAGTTGATTCCTTTTCAGGTAGGTCCTCAAAATAATTCTACACAAATTTAGCCTGACAGCAGTTTCCATAAATTAGAATTTTGAATTTAAAAAGTCCCTCAAATTGTTGCTGTATTTCCTGTATCTAAAATGCTTCTTTAAAAAGCAAAAATATTTCTCATTGGAGAATGATAGAGCTCTGTTTTCATGTTTATAGAGTTGCTTTTATTTTTGTTTTGGTTGCACGGAAGTTGAGGTAAGTTATGGTGGTAAGCTTTTGAGCAAGTCTCAGAAAGTTATTTAAGGGTTTTAATCATTACTTTGATGTATTCATTACACATTTTCTTTTCAAAAACTTTAAAGTTCCTTATAAATTATATTATCTTGGTATGGAAGACCAAGGGCTATGTAAATGCTTTTATACCTGAACGGTTCTTTGGAAAGCTGTGATGTCATTTCAGGTTCTTAGTTGAATTGAAATGATTCTCCTGATTGTTGACTGACACGTTTTGATGGGGGATTAAGTGAACGTTGAGCGCATCGTTTTGCCTTAGTCGAGTTTATAACTGGCGTCACTGGCCCAGGTTTATTTCTGTTACTGTCAACTTTGCTTTTCTCCCGTGTTTCCTTCTAGCTATTAGTTTAATAAGAAAAGAGCATTTCACATGTAGGAGCAAATGGTGTTCTTTTCTGGTTTTTGTTTAATGTCTAATTACTCATTTGAAGTTAAATTTGGTTGTCCTTTTCCCCTACATGTGTTTTGGAATTGACTCAGACTCTGAGAGGGCCTCGTAAAGGCTTTTTCCACCCCATGTCATTAAGCTAGTCAAAATCAAATATCTAGTCATACTAGCTGCCTGTGTATATTGGGGGGAAAAAGGTTTTGTTCAATTTTAAAATATTAAATTCAAAGTAACTTGTATGTGTGTAGACACAACTAAATTTTTTTATTTGATTTTCTTTTTTTTTTTTTTGGTCTGGATCTATGTAAGGAATCCCTGGTGTAGAAACTCCCTCCACTGATTCAGATGATTAATCTGCCTCTAATCACGATGTTACACTTAATTTGCTGAGGGCACTGAGAGGTCAAGTAACCTGCCCTGGTCATAGCATCTGGGCCTGAACCAGGATTCTCCTCTGCCCCTCCCCTTTCTCCCTCTCCCTTCTCCCTTTCTCTCCCTCTCTCCTCCCTCCTTCCCCCTCCCTCTCCCTCCTTCCTCTCCCTTTTCCCTCTCTTTCCCTCTCCCTCTCCTCCCTCTTCACCCCTCCTCCCTCTCTCCCTCCTCTCTCTACCCTCTCTCTTTCCCTCTCCCCTCCCTCCTTCCTCTCTCTTCTCCCTCCCTCTCCCCTCCCTCTTCCCCTTTCCTCCCCCTCTCCCTCCCTCTTTCCCTCTCTACTTCCTCCTTCCTCTCCCTTCTCCCTCTCCTCCCCTCTCCCTTTTCCTTCTCCTCCCTTCTCCCCTCTCTTTCCCTCTCTCCCTCCTCCCTCTCCCCTCCCTCCTTCCTCTCTCTTTTCCCTCTCCTCCCCTTCTTCCCCCCTTCTCCCTCTCTCTTCTCCCTCCTCCCTCTCCTCCCCCTCTTCCCTCTTCCCTCTCTTTTCCTCTCCCTCTCCCTCCCTCCCTTTCCCCTCCCTCTCCCCCCACCCCTTCACTCATGTATCTCTACCTAGCTGGCTATCTCTCAGCTAACTGGTTATTAGCAGAAGCTCCACCAGAATTTTTTTGAACTCCACTTCTATGCAGAAGAAATGATTAAAATCGGAAGAGCAGCTTTGCAAGTTTATTGAGTCAGAACCTGGCAGGGTCCAGCACGTGGGTGTGGAGCCTCGATTCCCCGTGTCTCATGTCATCCATTCTCTGTACAGTGAGTCTGAGGCAGGCCCGGGGCAGAGTTACCTGGGCCGTTTTAGCTCCAGCTTTGGTCCTGGGCCCCCGCAGCCCGAGGTGGTCTGGCTGATCAGGGTGGACTCTGCAGAGACGATAGAAGTTGTCCCGATTGTTGGAGCGTTAGGCACGCGGCAGGCATCGCATTGTCCCTTTTTTATTTCAAGCTAACCCCTTCCATTCATTCATTTCCCTGACGTTACCAAGGGGAAGTGGAGCCTCCATACCAGCGTGGGTCCTGCGTAGGCCCTGGGCGATGCCCATTTTTGCTCGACACTCTCCCTCCGTCCCTGTCTCTCATCTGTCTTTGTTGTGCCTTTGGTTTAACGTTGTTCTCCCCCAATTTTCCCCTTCTCATTGTAAACTCATGGCAGGGCCTGCTTGGTGAGCTCATTATCTTAGAGCAGCAAATCCGCGAACATGAAGAGGAAGCGCGCAGAGCAGCTGGCCAGTATAACACAGGCTATTCCCAGCAGAAGCGCAAGGTGATGGGCTCAGGGGGCTACGTGCTGTCTTCCTACTAATCAGGCATTCTGTAGAGTCCAAGAGCCCCCATCAAGACAAGGGCTTGTTGTCAAAAGAAGAGACCCAGGGATTGAAGCTGGAGGGGACGAGAGACGACCTCAGGAAGCAAGGGACATGATAGCAACGGAACAGGACAGAGTGGTCCTTTGGGTTGGCACTTAGGGAGTTTGAGGCATCCCAGCCTTCAAAAGAAACATGAACGGTCCCTGCTGTCGAGTCACTCCGAGTCCTCCGCTGGGCTGTGGCGCAGTTTCCTCTTTTGTAAAATGGTCATGGTTGTGTCACGTGGGCCTCGTGGCAGGATTCATCCTCTGAGCAGGTGAAGGCCATTGTCCCGGGAGGCACAGGTAGTGGAATGAACTGAGAGCCCAGTTACAGCCAGCTAGGCGAGGGCAGAGACGTCGCAAAGACAGGACGTTTCTTTCGTGAGCTCCTGCATCCAGTTGAATTCATTTCCCCAGGCTCTAGCTTTGGCTGACAAAGCTGTGGCTGATGGCTGTCCCCTTTGTTGTGAAGAAGTGCTTGAGAACCATCCTCTAGTTTGATTTCTCTTGTCAAGGGTCCTGGCTTTTCTCATTTCAAAGGCTGTGGAGTCAGTCCTGGCAGTGCAGGCTCAGTTTGGCTGAACCCTAGACCTGAAATGGAGAAACTTATCCAACGGGCGGGCTATTTCCACATAGCTTGTAGTTTCCACCCAGGTGAAGGCTTTTGCTTTTCCTGTCAAGCCAGAGAAGGGTCTGTTTTAAAGCGATGGCTGCAGGGTCTCCTCTTGTGCCATGGCGGACAATGCTATCCTTTGGGTGACAGGCTCACAGAGTCAGGTAGAGAAAGGGGGGGGCAGGGGTTAGTGGGGGTCTTCCTTAGTGCTTAGCAGCACCTGAGCATCTCTGTGCATGCAGATGACTTCTGCTGCCGTTGTTCCTGAGATTTTTTTTTTTTTATGGGTTAGCCAGTGTTGCCCCTGAATTGAGAGAGGATTCTATTATCCCACTATGAGAAGGGAGGGGAGGGGGTGCTGCGGTGCCATTAGACTTTGGTGATGCGAGGGCTACTGGGAGTAGACCGTTGGCTTTCCTGAAAGGCATCGTTCTCATTTTACACAGCAGCCACGGCCCTGCATGTGCAGAGAACAGATCCAGATCTAGATTTTCGTGGCGCTGCTAACCCGTCCGTGTCTTACTTTGTAGAACTTTAGGATGAGAGTTAATCCTGGCTCAGCCTTTACACAGTGGGAAAGTGTCTCATGTCAAAAGAAATTCCTTCTTTATGTCTGAAGTACATTGTGAAGCAGCCCCTGAGCACTGTCCCTTCGAGGGAAGGGCCTGCTGATGAGTGGCCTGGGACGTTTGTTATTAGCAGCCTGCAGCCGAGGGGCTGGCTTAGGTCCTTTGTGGCTCTGCAGAGCACGCCTTCCCTTTTGGAGAGTTTACTGGAAGCAGCGGATGTGAGGAAAGCACGCCCTCTAGCTCTGAGCCAAAGAGCTAATGGATAGACTGACTTTACAGGTGGGCCTTTCCCTTGGTCTGCATTGGCTACTTCAGGGTCAAGGTTGATTGTTGAAGCTCCAAAGTCAGATTCCTTGTGGGGAAGGGAGCAGTAAGGCTCTGTGTCTTTGAGCACTAGTTTTGTCCGTGATCTCCACAGCCTTGGGATTGTAGGAAGCGTCTGAAACCCAGGCCACTGGTAAGGTAACCCCCTGTTTTATGTACCACATTTTTGTATATATTAACTAAACGGTCAATTGCTCCTTCCCTGATCTCTAAAGATGGCAAATGTGGAAGGAAATCAAATCGCCAGGGAGCTACAGGCAGCTCATTTTCTCAGCAGATTCGGTGCCTGAGGTAGGTCACAAGCCGCTGCAGGTTTTGTGAGCAGCACAGAAAAGGGTCACCCCGACAGCGTCTGCTAGGGCCAGCCAGGATGTGCTTTGGATGGTGCTGGCTTCCCTTGTCCCACCACCTTCGTGGGAGTTCAGTGGGTAGGCACAGAGATCTTGTGGCCCAAACCTTCCATTTTGCAGAAGAGGAAACTGAAGTACCCCTCCCCTTTGTCTGAACAGCCCTCTCATTCGGCATGAGGAGGCTCTTTGTTCACCAGGGTGAGGATCCCTGTTTTACAGAATGAGCTGGGGAGTGACTCGCTCCAACAGGACCGCCTCATGTTGATGCCGCATTTCCCCCTGACCCCAGGAAGGGCTGGTGGGGGCGGCCCAGGGTCGAGGAGGTGTGACTCCCTCAGCGGCCTTGGGGAGCAGAGGGCCTTCCCGCCCTTGGGCTCCTTCACTGCAGAGCTCAGAGTGATCAGGATCACCCCTGGAGCTTGTGCAGAGCACTCAGGATACGGTGGAGCGGTACAGCCTTCTGTACTGAGGCCTGCTGCCAGGAAGTGCGTGGTCAGAGAGGAAAGGCTAATGCAAGCCCTAACTGGCTGCTGTTTATACCACATTGCCTCCCGGGGTTTGGGGGGAGGATAGAATTCCCCGGTGTGGCCATGAGTTTACAAGGCAGTTTTAAAGTTTTGAGACTCCAGTATCCTGGGCATCCAGATGACACGTTAGACATCAGGCATTACTGGATACCTCCTCGACTGACGTGGGGACCGGGACAGGACATCACCTCAGCGTAGGAAGCTCCCACCCATGACAGCCATTCATTCAGCTTCAGTGCCCGTCAATAGGGGTCATTAACCTCAGTTCTTCATACTGGGACTTGTGATAGAAAACCTTTAACCCACTCCGCCCCAGCCTCATTTGGGTTCCCTTTGGGTGGTGGGTCTTCCCTACTCTTCTTTGCGCCCCCTTCCCCAGTCCTTTCCTACATCCTGCCCATCCTGTGTACACAGACCTCATGCCACTAGCACACCTTTGGACGGGGGGAGGAAACCTCAGAACGGTCATTTGTAACATCCTGTACTTTGTGGGCCCAGTCACGACTGGGGTCTCGTAGGCTGTCTGTGACCCATGTAACTGTTAGCAAGAGGAGAAGGGATCTACAGCCGTGCAAGTCCAGCAGCCAGAGGGGTCGCCTGTCCCATTTAAGCCTCAGCAGCACCCCCCCCCCCGGCAGAGTACAGCTAGACGTCTCGCCTTTGGTGTTGGTGACAGGACAGCAGGGAGGGCGGCTGTGGCCAGGGCTCCGAGGGGCTCCACGCTGGAAGCCCGCCGTGGCGGGGAGGTCTTTGACGTCGTCTCTTCGTTCCCAAGCTGCTCGTGCTGTCGTGACCTTTGTTCTGTGAGTTCCAAAGAGCTCTAAGAACAGTTGGAACTAGCACAGAGAACACCTGCACTTGGGCTCTTCGCTTTGGCCTGGCATTCCAGGCCCATTGATCTCGGGGAGGGGCACTCCACAAGGGTCAGAATTTAAAAGCAAGCACCCGCATCTGGCCAGTGCTTTGGAAATCTGGCCCTACTCTGGCCCTGGGGCAGGGGAAGCCCTTCGTGTGCTCCAGAACGGAATGCTCATCCCGTCCCTTCCGGAGGAGAGAACATGGAATGGGCCAGTGGGGGTTTGCCTTCCTGCCCGTGCACGGGGCTGTCTCAGGGTGAACGTGGCTGTTAGCTTTCTGTCCCATTTGAATTCCCTTCCCTTTGGAACAAGCCTAATCTGTATTCCCCGGCTTCCCAGAAGATTCACATGACATTAATGTGATTGTAGGTGTCGGACAAGGAGAAAGTGGAGCAGCTTCAGGAGGAGCTCTTACGTACCCAGGTGAGCTGCTTCCCTCTCACCTGAGCCAGTGTCCTCCTGGGATCCAGCTGGAATCTGGGGGCGGCCAGCTTGGGCCCAGGCCTGCCCCCTCCATGAGGCTTCTGATCTCCAGAAAGCCAGCCAGCAGCTAATGCGAAAGCAAAGGTGTTGGGGAAGAGGGGAGCTAAGGCAGTGAGTCCTCGGGACCTGGCGGGGAGGGAGTCACCGATGACAACATGGCCAAGCAACCCGATGCCTTTAACTCCGGTGGGCAGCTGCACTGGCTTTTCCAGGGAAAGCCGGCTAGAACTTGCTCACAGCATTTCCCTTTGGGAAAGTATTTAATTCTAAGAATTGAATTGCTTTTACACGACAGTTCTACGCAGGAAAAAGCCTCCATCCTGACAAAGCACCCTTTCCTGAAGGTGCCTTGTCTTCTTTTGAATACCTTGAGGCTCGTGGTAGGTGGTCCTGAGCCTGTGACCCTAGGCTTGGCCAACATTTACTGCGCAAGCAGGCAGGAGAGGCCTAGGACCTTCCCACTGCTCACGAGAAGCATGCTGGCTGCCAGCCTGGGGGAGCCTGGGCCCCTCGCAGGGAGTACCAGCCGCTGGGACCCGAAGGGGCTGGCCGGGGCCCTCGAGCCACCTCCAGGGTAGCAGAGCTGTTCTTGTCTGAGCCCCATCCCCCAAGGGGCTGGGGAGAACCTCCCCGGCTAAACCCGAGCCACCAAAGCACAGGTGAGTCCTCCCCCTCGTCAGGGGGGTTTCCTGCGCCAGTTTGTTTTGATGTTAGTGAAGACTTAAACAAAAGAGCAGTGGGAATATTGGGAAGAGGAGCTGGAGAGGAAGGCGGGTTTTTGTGAAAAGTCAGTTACAGAAGCAGTTGCTTTAGGTCTGTGCAGGGACGTCCCCAAAGGCCCCAGGCTTTGCGTGTTTCCCGCCCTGCGGTGGAGCAGAGGGTTGCCAAGGTCCCCTGGTTACAGGCCCCGTCAGCCGCTCCCACGGCAGCTAGCTTGGTAGAAGTGGCAAGGCTTGCTCTCTGCAGCCCATCACCAGATATTTCTGAAGGGCTGCTTTTGTGACGCTCCCTGGGGTGTTATTGGGGGCGGGGGTCCTAGAGACACCACAAAACTTAGAGTTCTCTGTGCAGAATAGGGGCACGTCGCTGCTGCTGGGGATTTCAAAGGTCATTGTGTTCATTCCATGTGGATTTTTTTAATGCAAGAATTTTTTAACTTGGAATGTCACACAAGGGAACGGGTTCTTCTGGACTTGAGATAGCCGTTGTATTTAGGAGAGTTTTCGTCATTTATCTTGAAGTAGGACACTGGGCCAGATAAGGAGGACTTCGTTTTGGGGGCAGGTTGTGCATAGAATTCCTGTTCTTTCGTTTTCATGCTGTTCATCCTCCACACTGATGTGCTTTCTTGCAGTTGAAATATCAGAGAATCTTGGAACGTTTAGAGAAAGAGAACAAAGAACTGAGAAAACTAGTGTTGCAGAAAGACGACAAAGGCATCCATCACAGGCACCTCAAGGTACCCCTGGCCACCTCCTTGTTCTCGGCAGCTTTACCAGGCATGTGGCCGCTCTGCCTGTTGCTTTGAGAACTTACTTCTTGGCGGCTTCGTGGTTGGGGGCAGGCGATCTCTGCGCAGAACATGGTGCTTATGACATGAGTACAGTCTGTGGGTTTCAGTCCTTTGGAGCGTCACACGTCCATGTCACTGGTGGTCTGTGATCATGCTGGGACTGCTGGACATCCTTTGGCCATTTTGTTCTCAGAGTCCATGGCCGTGGTCCAGAGGTTCTTTTCTCTTATGATCCTTCTTGTCTCCCACACTAAAGCCACAACTGGTCACTGGCTCAGTGTCAGGGCAAGGCAGCTGGTGGAAGAGGCCTGAGCTCTGGACCTGGCCCTGGGCATAAAAACAGAAAATCCAGAGGGTCCCTGCTCTCATGAGGCTCCCGTTCTGAGAGGGGGAGGTGATGCTGGGAGGGGGGCCCCCTCACAGGACGGTGCTGGTCGGGGTGCTCCCGTAGCAGGCCCTCGATAGGTGCTTTCTCACACACTCACTTGTCAGGCTCTCTTATAGCCTGCTGCCTTGCTCCCCCCAGCTTTGCAGGGCCTGCTCCTCTTAGAAGCCTTCTTGTCTCCTCCATTGTACCTGGGGCTACAGCAGAGGCAGGGGGCGGCCAGCTGTGACCTGGGCAGGCTCCTCATCCTAGAGGGGGCCCCGGCCTGGAGCAGCTTAGCCTGGTGTCTTTTACCCATGGTCACGCCAGAATCCTGCTGGTTGCTTCTTGCTCATTGTGTTATGAGATGGGAAGCAGCATGTGGCCCGGCTAGTTAGTAACTTCATCCTCACTTACCTCTCTGTTTGTTTCTAAAGAAATCTCTGATCGACATGTATTCTGAAGTGCTGGACGTGCTTTCTGACTATGATGCCAGTTACAACACCCAAGACCACCTGCCCCGGGTGAGTAGAGGCAGAGAGGTTTGGCTTCCTAGCTGAAAAGTTATTGGGCCATTTTAATTACCCAGATTGTTTAATAGAGCTCTTTGTATGATGGCTGAATTAGATACATTTATTGACATTTATTTACTGTGAGGTCTTCCAAATTAGGCTTTTTAATCATCGGATTAACTCAGTAAATGCACGTCGTCTGTTGTGAAATTCCTCTCTCCAGCGAGCCTGTTGGTAAAATGAATTCCTTAGCTAAATTGTCTGTTCCTTTTCAATAGAAAAAGGAGTGTCTGTCTTGAAACAACATTGAAAAACCTCAGAATGCTTTGTTTTGCACCAGCTTGGTGAATTCTTTATACAGTCATTGATCTCTGTGTGCCTCACTTATCTGGAGCACATTTATGGGGTAACTTAGGCAACCAGCATAGATCCCTTAGAGACTCGAGAATCTCTTCTTCTGTCCTTGCTTGAGGCAGCTCTCTCAAGCTTTGTGACTTGATTTCCCAGCTTGTAGTGATCTAGAAGGATTAGGAGGATGGGCAGGGGATGTGGCATAGAATCAGCCCCCTTGATAGCAGCAAAAAGCGATGGTATGTAGTGGACAAGGAGACAGAAAAGCCTTTTTGAATAGCAGTGCTGGGCCCTGTCCCCCTGGAGATGGTGCAACCACCCTCCATTCCCATAGGGCCTGAAAAGGTAGGTTATGCTCACTGACCTCTGTGCATTTCAGTTGTCTTGTAGGAAGATTTATTTCCAAAAATGGTAAATGGAAAGTGTTTCCAAAGCTTACAGAGCTTAGCGTCAGTTACTGGAAAATTCACGTGCATCAGGGCCGCTGTCCCAGGTGATGGTGCAGGAGCGAGGCTCCATCTTATCACATCATCAGTCCTTGGTGGTTCAGACAGCATGCAGGAGCACGTTTGTCACTATGAGCAGACAGATTCCCTGTATTGATGGGGATGGGCCAGCATTGACTTGGTGACTGATGAGGCCGCTTTGAAAAGCATCCCAGATCTTGATTAGAAGTACTTTCAGGTGTCCCTACTCCCACATTCTATTTAAGGAGTGAGTTAAATCTTAATGTAGTGAAGTACAGCCTGATAAAATTAAAAATCCATCCTATTAAGAACAAATTGAATTAAAAGAAGAAAGTTGTTCTAAGTGTTAGTGATTGACTCAACCTATTTTAAGATACCCTTTCCTGAATGCACCAGGATTTCCAGCACCTGTGGTTTGTTACTGCCCTCCGGAGGCAGCTCTGGGTCACCTCACACTGAGGAGGTCCTCCTTGGGAGGGCCTGTGGCCAAACCAGCCTGCTGGTGCTGAGGCTCCACAGACCAATGGGGGCTGGTCCTCAGAGCAGGCAGGCCATCCCTGGCACTGTCCTTGAAGCCCCTCCAGCTGACCGCAGACTGCTCATGCTCCCCCGGGCCACCCGTGCCGCTTCGCCCCCACGAGGCTTCAGCAGAGGACTCGGGCAGAGTTCGTCCCAGTCAGGGCACCCCTTCTTGGAGGCACACACATTGTCAGGGTGTTGATGAGTGAAAATGCAGTCTGTCCCTCCAGCCGTGCTTCAGAATTTGAACACAGACTTCCGAGTGTCTCAGAACACGAAACAGTGTTGTTGGTTGTTTGGTGCCAGGTTGTGGTGGTAGGGGACCAGAGTGCCGGGAAGACCAGTGTCTTAGAGATGATTGCCCAAGCTCGGATATTCCCTCGTGGCTCTGGGGAGATGATGACACGTTCTCCGGTTAAGGTAAGGCTCCGAGATGTCCCTGAGCAGCTGCCTGGTCCCCCGAGGCCTGAGTGTGTTTGGAGATTTTGCTAAAAGTAGAATGGAGAGACCTTTTTAAAAGATTCGGATCTCAAAGAACAATATTTTTGACCTGTTTTCTGTTTGGCAAAGGCTGTACCCACGCAGGGATCTGGAATCTCTGGTTCTCGTGAAGAATTCCTTCACCTTGTCTTGGCACGTTGATCTTTCTGTAACATTCAGATCAGCTTCATTCTTGCAAAGCCAAAGAAATTAGATTTTCAATGTAAAAGACCTGGAGAGCCGTACAAAGTAACATCTGGACAGCTAGAGATGAGTTCAGAAGCATTAGCAGTGCCAGAGCTGACCCTTCTCCCATCTGACCCCCTTTGCAGGTCCTCGTGACCTCTCAGATAAAGCCTTTTCACTGGTCTCCCTGCCTGCCTTCTCTGCCCTCCTCAGACCATGCTCCGTGCTGCTGGCCGAGAGAGAGCACAGCTCTGACCAGCTCGCTGCCAGAGCAGGAAGCTTCAGGGCCTCCCCCACGTCTTTCCAGTTCCCTCCTCTCCCATCCTCTTGACCAGAGTCCTGGAGCCACGCTGGCCTCCCTGCTTGTCCACCACTTAGAACGTTCTGTCTCCTGCCTTTTCCCCTTTGTCCTCCCCACGGCTGCGTCTTGGAGACTCTTGAGCTCCCCTCCAGCATGGCACAGTGTGAGGCCTTTCCCTTACACATCCCCTTATCTTCTTTTTTTTGTTTGTTTGTTTGTTTGTTTTTAGGCAATTGGGGTTAAGTGACTTGCCCAGGGTCACACAGCTAGTAAGTATCAAGTGTTTGGTCTGAGACTGGATTTGAACTCTGGTCCTCCTGACTTCAGAGCCAGTGCTCTATCCACTGCGCCACCTAGCTGCCCCTCCCCTTGTCTTCTTATCCATGGACACATCACATCCTCTGACTAGATGGTCAGCACCTTAGGGGCAGGGCCTGAGTCATCTTTTCTTTGTATCTGTGGTGCCTGGCACAGAGTTGTGAGTGGTTGCTTCATAAATGACCAAGGTCCTTATTGGCCTAAAATGACCGTTAAATGAGCCTGGGAGTCTAGCATGCACTACTCTTGTATCATAGTGTGGTGACACCTCGCATTGTACTGTGGGCGAGAGATGCAGACCTAGGACATACAGATTGAATCAGCTTAGGCTGCTCAGTCCGCCTACCTTGACCTCACCTCCTAGGGAATTGCCTTCAGGCATTGAGGAGGGAAGTGACTGGCCCAGGGTCACACTGCTAGAATATGTCAAGGGCAGAATTAGAACCAAGAGCTTTCTGACTCCCAAGTCAGTCAGTAAGCATTGATTAAGCACCTGCTGTGTGCCAGACACTATGCTAAGCACTGGAGATACAAAGAAAGGCAAAAGACGAGTCTCTGACATCGGGGAGCTCCCCCTCTGATGGGGCAGCAACATGCAAACAGCTGTGTATGAACAGGCCGTGGACAGCCTGGGTTCTCTCAGCATTGTCCTTGTGAAGACGCTCAGTAGGTGCTGAGTTGTTAGTAGGGGCTCCGCCGAGTAGCGTTTGAATTGTAAGTGATCTGAATTTCAATTTTGTCACGATTTCAGGTGACGCTTAGTGAAGGCCCTCACCACGTGGCCCTGTTTAAAGATAGTTCTCGGGAATTTGACCTGACCAAAGAGGAAGATGTAAGTGAGAAAACGAGATATGGGTTGTCTGTGGATTGCCAAAAATCATTGACTTGTAGCAAGCCTGCTTAAAGTCATTCCGTAAAGCATTTACTTGAATGTTAATTATGAGTAAAAAACAAGTCGTGCCATCGGGTGGGATGATGATGTCTGAGACCATGAGATGTGCCTCCACCAGTCAGGGCTGTGTTGCCAAAGTGGAAATTTTCTGACTCGTGTTTGGTTTTGGTAAAACAGCTTGCAGCATTAAGGCGAGAGATAGAGCTCCGAATGAGGAAAAACGTGAAGGAAGGCTGCACTGTGAGCCCTGAGGTGAGGGGAAGGCCAGGCCACCAGCCTGCCAGGGTTCCGGCCTTGTCGTTCCAGAGGAGTCACAGAGGGGCGCTTGTGTTGGGGTCATCTCACCGTTAAACAGCTTTAAAAGGGACGGGATGTAGCCATGTGCTCAGGGATGGTGGGTGGTAGTGTTCATCAGCGTTCCACGACTGAGGAGACTAACTTCATTCTGGTGGTGTTGTGTAGACCATCTCTCTGAATGTCAAAGGGCCTGGACTGCAGAGGATGGTCCTGGTGGACTTACCTGGGGTCATTAATGTGAGTATCCTTTAAGCATGTAGAAGAATTGTTCTGTGTTTCCAGTATGGAAAGCATGAGTCCCCTTTAATTACTATCTCTTCTTCCAGACGGTGACATCGGGTATGGCTCCGGACACAAAAGAGACCATCTTCAGCATCAGCAAAGCCTACATGCAGAATCCCAACGCCATCATCCTCTGTATCCAAGGTACATCGAGAGACTCGGAGAGTCCTTCCCAACTGCTGCCACGGGCATCGTGTGTCCCCTGTGTTGTCTCCCCCAGCCCCTGCCCCAGGTTTCCTTTGAGAGGACAGAACGTGTGGTGGGGAGACAGAATCGCTCGGGCTCTCCCGTGTTCCTTGGGGCAGGCTTGGCTCCCACCCTTTGGGTTGTCTGAGAGTCCCCGGGTGATCTTGCCTGAGAGTAGAGGCTTGACGAAAGGGCTCTGGTGCCCCAGGGTTCTCACGGTCAGACATAAGCCTGCTGTCTTCTGGAAGTAACCAAAAAGATGTTGCTGAGAAGGGCAGGACCCACTTCCCTTTGTGCTGGGATAGACAGGTAGACTTGCAGATCGGTCCTGGTGAACTTGAGAAGGAGAACATCCTTCTGGGAAGGAGCCCTAGAGGCAACGCCCCCTTGCCAAGCCCGTCCTCAGCGCAGGAGCGCTGAAGAAATGCATGGGAAAGCGTCTCTCACCCCCTCCTGAATGCTGAGGATTTTCACTGCAGACTATAGGCTTTTCCCTTGTCTTCATCCCATAAATACAAGCAGACAAAGGCCCCAGAGGGGCGCGTAGGGGCATCGTCCCCAGGAGCCTTGGAGGCTTCACATGGCCCTCGTTCCTTGCAGATGGGTCTGTGGATGCCGAGCGCAGCATTGTCACGGACCTGGTCAGCCAGATGGACCCTCATGGCAGAAGGACGATATTTGTGCTGACCAAAGTCGACCTGGCGGAGAAGAACGTGGCCAGCCCCAGCAGGGTAAGGACTGGCCACGGGCCGCCAGCCTCAGCTGGGCCTGGGGTGGGGGATGGAGGAAGCTGAGGCTTGAAGCATCCCGCCCTTGAGGGAGGGTCACCGGCCCTGGGGATGAGTGAGAGCCGTTGTGTGCTTAGGAGTGCCGGACTTCCCAGTGCCTTGTTCCTTAAATGGAGGATATGGTAGAGCCGGACATGCTTTTACGTCCCTAAGCTCTAGCGTACAGCATTGTGCACAGCCCAGGTAGGTTGCAGGTGTAGGGCGCCTTCCCCCCACCCATCCCCCACCTCTCAAGGTACTACTCTCCAGAAGGACCAAGAACCTGGCCTCAAGGTAGGAAGCATGGGATGTGGTTGGGTCCTCCTTTCATCTCCTTGGAGAGTGTCACCGACGTGGCGTCTCTTGGGACACCTCACCGTCCTGTCCACCGGGGAGAATCTGCCCTCCAGACCATGTCCAGGTCCCCAGGGTGTGGGCACTGATGACCCTGGAGCAGGGGGCCCCTGGATGGTCAGTCACGATGACCTGCATTCCTTTCACAGCATCCCAATGAGAAAAGTGGTTTGTCCCATAGAACTGTCAGTGTTTAGACCCAGCAGTCAGATCCAGGCTTCCACTGGTCCCATGTCAGATGTCCCGGCCGTCCTCCCACTCGGCCTGGTACCAAGACACAGCCTGTTACTCCTGTGTCACAGCTGCGCGCGTCGAGGCTGAATGGACCGCGGCTGTTGTGTTTAGAACTGCAAGGGCTTAAGCAGGCACCGCTCCAAGCCTTTCATCTTACGTGAAAAGAAACTGAGGCCCACAGAGTGGGCGCGACCTGGTTAAAGTGACCCATGTTGTGAACCTAAGGCTTCTTATTCCAAATTCATTCCCCTCCAGTTAGTCAGTCGGAAAGCATTAATTAAGCCCCTCCAATATTAATTAAGCACTCCAGCCCTTGGCCTGCCCTGGCCAGCCATGGCGGGTTAGCGTAGAGCCCGGGTTTTCTGACTCCCTTTCCATTGGACCACAGACTGATTCATAAAATCGTGTTGGTGTCTTTCATTTTTATATCAGCTTCATTTCCCAAACCTTAGAGCAAAAGAATAAACGAGGGAAAAGTTTGGTAAAACCAACTAAGCATCCTCCCAATTCAGCATCACATCTGGGCGTCGCTTCTACGGTGCACCACTGTGCCTCAGCTTGGCATCCAAGAGAAGAAAAGAGACGCGTTTGACTTTGATGCTGTCAGATAAATGATTGACACCCGGGTTTCTCAGGGGCGCTAGCCTGACACCAGAGAATCTTAGCTTGCCAGGCAGAAATTGAGGCCAGAGGAGCTGAGTAAATGTCCAGGTGCCCAGAGCTCGCGGTGGGCACAGATGGAACTGGACAGAACCCACCTGCTCTAGGGGTCCCTGCCACCAGGGCATCAGCTCTCTTGGCGGGTGCCTGGCCCTTCTGGCTGCACACCTCCTGCCCTTTGTTACGTGTGGGCAGCTTTCTGAACTTGTTTTTACCATGTGTTTGTTTCAATAGATTCAGCAGATAATTGAAGGAAAGCTTTTCCCAATGAAAGCTCTGGGTTACTTTGCTGTCGTCACAGGAAAAGGTACGCGCTGATTAACTGATTGGGTTTGCTTTTGACTTTGACTGTTCATTAAAGACTCTGTCCCTGTCCTTTCCCCCCAGGAAACAGCTCTGAAAGTATCGAGGCCATCAGGGATTATGAAGAGGAATTTTTCCAGAATTCAAAACTCTTAAAGTAGGTGTATTACTTGCGCTTTTCAGGAATTTCACAAGGCTTAAATGATTTTTTTTACACATGAGGGTGTTATTTTAAATCTTAGCTTTCTCTAATGTTTTCTAAAACCTCTGGTTTTAACACTGACCCCATGTGGCCAGGTCGGCCTGAGGGAAGAAGCCCTCTGCCCTCCGTTTATGGAAGTGAGTGGCCCAGCTTGTGTGTTAGCAGAGAACCACAGAGAGGATGCAGCCAGGCTAGTGGGTGGGCCTCCCTTCTGTCAGCGCTGCTGCCACACCATCTCTCACCCCCCACCTTGCCCCGCTCACATTGTGGCCGCCCTCCTCGTCAGCCTCATCCCTTCGCTCCTGGATTGTTGCACCGGCCTCAGCTTGGCCTCCTTGCCTCCATCCTCTCCCCATCCTGTCTCGTGACCTAGTCACCTTCCTGCTCAGAGGACTCCTGTGACTGTGGCCTTTAGGATTCCCTTCCTGCCCTCAGTGGGCCTGCTCTCCATGACGCTCCCATGGTCCCCTCTGCCTGGAGCCCTTCCCGTCCCCCACCACCCTCTCCTTATTTGTGTATATGTCATCTCTGCCGATTGGAGTGGAAGCTCCTCAGGGCCAGGCACTGCTTGGCTGTTTGCTGCCTCTGTGTGTCCTGGGCACCCTGTCTAGCATCTGTGCACAGCAGGGGCCGAACAGATGCTTATCGATCGATGAGTTGGTTGGTTAGTCGGTTCACCCTGCTCGTTCACCAGCTGGCGCGTCTTTACATAGACGTGCCGGACAGGGGGTTTGTTCCTCCTTGTTTTGGACTCTTCCTCCCACAGGTTCCTGTTCATCTGTATTATAATTCTTCTGTGTTATCTACATATTCTTGGATGGGTAGCTTGGTGAATATTTGAGTGAATGTGCATGTTTGTATGCGTATGAGACGGAGGGTTGTTGCCACAGCTCCTGGCTTCTGTCCCAGCTTTCCTTGAGCCTTAGCTGAAAATGCTTTTGGATCTGCCTGATTTCATGTGGGCTCATTTCCATCTCCTCTGTGTTCTGTGATTTTCCCACAGGACGAGTATGTTGAAGGCCCATCAGGTGACGACCAGGAACCTCAGCCTTGCGGTGTCCGACTGCTTTTGGAAGATGGTGCGCGAGTCTGTGGAGCAGCAGGCGGACTCTTTCAAAGGTGAGTCAGCTCTAAAAACAAGGTGCCAGCATGCCAGGGGTGTGCTTGTCACGAGCTTCCAAGCACGCTCCTTCCACACTTTTAATAGTGATTGTTAAGCCAGTTTGTGTGTGTGTGTGTGTGTGTGTGCTGGGAGCAGTGTTTAGCCAGGAACAGCCCACACAGGGAGATACGCAGGCTGTATCCTGGGGCAAGAAGTGATCTCCGACCCAGCCCAGAGGGGCCTGACCTTGCGCTGAGGGCAGGAGTAGGAGCCAGCTGGCAGCTCTGTCATCCACAGCCCAGTTCTAGGGCACAGACTGAGGGCAGATGACCAGCACCTAGAGGTGATAGGTCCCAGGCCATGGACTGAGCAAGGAGCCAGGTCAGAGACAAGCAGAGGAGTGCCTCCGCCCTCAGGAGCAGAGCAAAGTCTCAGGTCCAGCCTCCAGGCGAGTCTGGAGCCTGCAGCAGAGGAACTAGATGGTCTCAGGGAGCCTCCTGTTCTGTCCCTCTGAACCATCTGAGCTTCCCAGTTGACTGAGAGGAGCTGAGTTCAGACCCGTGCGTTGGCATTCCAATGGGGGCAAGCCTATGGGCGTGTTGCTCAGACTCACCTGGCTTAGACGCTTGAAGAGTGCAGATGAGGGAAGCAGCAGCCAGACTTTGTCTTCGATCGGGCCACTCTGGGAACGCGGAAAGCTTGCAGGTCCCCAGCCTGAGCTGTGTCTGAGACCCTGGAATGACAGCACTCACCACCCCGTGAAGACAGCAATGGGACCATTCCAAAAGTTCACATCAGAAGTCATCCTAACATCAAGTGTGAAGTCAGAACGTGGACGGGAAGAGTGAGTAACCAAAAATCCCGCTTTAAAAAGCTGCTGTCATGGCAGAGGCACACATGACACAAACCCAGAAGAAGAAAATGGCTCCAGAACAGCTATACGCAGAGCTCCGAACCAAAACACAGCTTGGGCACAGGTTCAGCAGGAATTCCAGGAAGAGATAAAGCAAGAACTTGAAAAGAGAAAAGTTTAAAATGTTTTTATAGTTGAAATGAGAGCACTAGCAGAAAAAATAGAAAAAGAAATAGGAACCATGGAAGAAAGAATTAGAAAGGGAATTAACAGCATGGCACAAGAGGTATAAAACCTTACCTGTGTGGCAAACTTTCTAAAACTTGGAATGTACCAGAGTGACTCTGTGAGACCACAAGAAATATGTATTTTTTTCAGGTCAAAAGACTTGTGGAAAATAGAAGAACATATGAGGTATGTCTTGCTAAAAACAGTTCACCTGGAAAACAGATTAATGAGAGATAATTTAAGAATCATTGAGCTATTTAAATGTTATGACAAAAAAAATCTTAGACTTCATATTTTAAGAAATCATAAAAGATCTGTTAGAACCAAAGGGCCAAGTAGAAGTAAAATCTATTGGTTGCCTTCTGAAAGAAGCCCCCAAATGAAAACTCCCAGAAACATTGTAGTAAAACTTCAGAACTTCCAAGCCAAAGAAAAAGATACTTCAAGCCGCCGGAAAGAAAGAATTCAAGCATGAACAAACAGCAGACAGGATCCCATGTGATTTGTCAGCCTCCATGCTGAAGGAGTGGAGAGCTTGGAAGATGATGTTCCTTTTGGAAGAGAATACGGGTTTGCAGGACAGTCTTCCCAGTCAAGCTGGGTGTACTCCTGTGGGGAGTAAAGTGGACCTTTTGTGAAGTGGAAGCCTGCCAAGTGTTCCTGATGAAAAGATCAGAGCTACCTAGGAGCTCTGAAGTGCAAATACGGGAGTCACAAGAAACAAAAAGGTGAACAGGTACAAGCAGTCATAGAAGGCTGACAAGGTTAAACGTTTATGTTCTAACATGGGGAGATGGACGTGTGTCCCCTCAGAATCCTGTCGTCGGGGGTCATCAATAAGGGTCTGATAAGATGGGGCCTGGGCATGTTCCCTTATGTCGTGTTGACCTTAGAAGAATGAAAAGGAAGAAGAAGAGAGCATTGCAGCCCAGGGAGATCAGGGTGAACAAGTGGAGGTGACCGATAGGAACCGAGAGGAAGGGATGGCAGGGTCGGAGCCCACCTCTCATCTGAATTGGCCAGATCAGGGAAGGAGACTCACGCGGAGCTGTTTACAGAAAGACATTCACTAGACATGGAGGCAGGAGGAAAGGGAAGCAGGGAGGCCACAGATGAGGCGAGGCAATGTTGGACGTGGCCAGTGTGGGGACTTGTGGTACTTGGCCACACACATTGGTGATTCTTTCTTTTTCAGCAAGGTGGGGGCAGGGGCTTCAAATGGATTTAAAGGGCCAGACAGTCTGCACTTGTGAGAAGATTTGGGAATCGGCCTTGGGGGAGGCAGCATCGTCCTTGGGGTTGACCACAGACGGCCTGCTCAGAGTGAGGACAAGATGAGTTTGTGAAGTGGGCCTAGCACAGAGGCACGGCTGGGCTCTGACTGTCGCGACCCACCCGCCCATTCCGGCAGAACAGAAGAGCATACATTTAGAGCATCTGGTAGGAAGAAGAGGACCCAGTGAGTAAAGAGATGACTTCAGAGACAGGAAGACCCGAGCAAGTCACTTCCTCACTCAGTGCCCCAGCCTGAGAGGGCCCTGACGAAGTCACGGCTTGGGCCAGTCCAGTAAGTTATTGGTTTGCTTTAATGATGCTAGATTTTAAAGTTGTGGAACAGAGGACACAGATATTCTGGGTCTAGTTCTCACCAATGGGGAAAAACTGACTCATGGGGTGGAAATGATGGGAATCTTGTGGTAAAATGACTGTGACACAGGAGAGCCAGGAAGTATCTCTGTGCCCTGGATTGGAGAGAGAAGCTCTCTGAGGGTTCAGAGCAAGGGGGGTGGGGGGTCTGTCTCGTGGACTTAAGATTCTCCTGGATGTGAAACGCTAGAAGTACAAGAGAGACAAGCCTGTGGAGGGAAAAAGGCCACATCGCATTAGCGATCTCACAGAGACACACGGCAGGAGCATAAAAAGAAGAGTGCGTGGCCAGGCCCTAAGCTAAGGATGATCTGAGGGCAGTTTTAGTAGCTGCCCCAGCAGGTAAAGGAGGGGAAGACGGGGGGAGACACCAGACCAGTGCTTGGGAAGGAACCCCAGACCATGGAGGCCAAGCTCGTGAGGGTTGTTGGCCCAGACGGGGAGAGCAGAGAAGGCTCACGAAGAGATGCCGGCTGAGAGACGGCGAGAGAGCAAAGGGAGTGCCGGACCCAGCGGAGCCGAGGCTGCCGAGCCGCTGGAGGTGATGTTTGAAAGATGGCGGAGAAGGGACGAGCTCGTCTCACGGGACAGGAGGAGTGGAAGGCGCACCTGGTCTCAGTTTCCTGAAAGGGAAGCTGATAGATTCTAGGACAAGGGGCCAGCTTTGGGCTACCAACAAAGTCCCAGGACGCGTTATTAAAAGGATGGTTAAGGGGCAGCTAGGTGGTGCAGTAGATAGAGTACCGACCCTGCAGTTGGGAGGACCTGAGTTCAAATCTGGCTTCAGACCAGACTTGATACTTTACACTTACTAGCTGTGTAACGCTGGGCAAGTCGCTTAACCGCAATCGCCTAAGAAGAGAAGAGGAAAAAAAAAAAGGACGGTTAGTGAACAGGGGGAATATGTTGGGCCAGACTGGTCCTATTTCTTTTTTTGTAGATGAGGAAAATGCTGAGAGTGTTATTTACTTGGACTTTAGCAGAGCCTTTGACAGAAGCCGGTGCTGGGCTTGTGGGGGCAAAGCTGAGAGACGCAGGTGAGACAGTGCAGTTTGGTGGATTCAGCCCTGGCCAGAGTGTTGTCACTGATGGGTGATTCAGGAGGTCGGCAGGGGTCTGTGCTTGGCCCTGGGCTGCTTAACACTCGTCCATCAGTGACTTGGATACGGACCCGGATGGCTCGCTCATCACTAAAATCTACAGGGGACACACCCAGGAAGAAGAACTAACACACTAAAGGACAGTCAGCATCCCAGAGTCTGGTGTGTGGCTGAATTTAATATGATGCAGTGGAGGAGGCAGACGCGTAGACCCTTAGACGTGGCTTCACAAGAAGAGGGGGGAAGATGGCGTTGTGTCCAGGAGGATCGAGGGGTCTGGGAGGCCTGCACGCTGTCACATCGGGAGCATTCTCCTGCCTCTCCTTTGGCCCTTCCCAGGCCCTCGACAGTTTGCTCCCAGGGTTGCCTGGGACTCCTCGGCAATTGCCCTCAGCCACACCGCAAATGGGTGTCCGTGGCTGCACCTGAGCCCTAGTGGCCCTGGCGTCAGGGACCATAGCTCGCACCGGTAAAGGGAAGGTGCTGGCTGCCTCCGTCTCAGCTCTTGGGGGACGCTCCGTACTCAGCAGTTTGCAGACTCTGTTCTTTTCCCCTCTTTGAAAATTGGGACATTTGTCCTTCCCAGTCTCTCCACGATGACCGACGGTGACTTAGGAAACACTTGTTAGCACCAAAATGTGGTCTGGAGGGACCTCGGCCAGGAGGGGGGTGTGCCCCCTTGACTGTCACTGCTTCTCACTGGTCCCCTTTGTCAGAGGGAGTGGAGCAGGTCCACCGGGTCTGGTCAGGTGTGGCACTGCGGGCATGTCCCCTTGCTGCTTTCCTTGGCCATCCTCGCCAGGCTCATTTTGTTCAGAGCTTCAGCTCTCCAACAGTTCTTAGAGGACCCTGCGCTCCCTGGATGCCTCACTAGGAGTCAGCAGTGTAGGAGGGTGTCCGAGAAAGCTCCTTCAGTCTTAGTCTGGAACCCTCGAACACTGGAGAAGCTGGACTCAGGTCTTTTATCTCTGGGACAAAGGGAAGCGTTGATGTAAGCAGTTGGGCCGGGGTGTTCCAAGCAGAGAGATGATGAAAACCATGTTTCAGACTGGTTGTCGTGGGGGGAGGGGCTAGAGGGGGCTGCAGACACCGTAGGAGCCTGGTGACGACCAGAGTCACTGGGCTTCACAGCTGCATGACCTCCGTGGTGAGAGGTGAGGGCCGCCAGCGTGCCCATCCTACAGAGCAGAGGCTCCGAGCCTCCCAGCTCCTCTCACTGCGGCCATGTCCTGCCCCGCTCCTCACAGCTTTGGTCAGCCAGTGGTTAATGTATGTTTTTCCTTCCTCAGCGACGCGTTTTAACCTTGAAACCGAATGGAAGAATAACTTTCCCCGTCTTCGAGAACTTGACCGGGTAATGCTCCCTAACTTTATGTCTTCTGCTTGGGCCCTTACATGATTCCTAACAAAGCCCCTGCGAAATCAGTCTTTTCATGGCTAAGTTACATCTGCCACTAAAAGGGTGACATGTCATGCGTTCTAAGTGACAGCCCTTTCTACACTGCATTGGAAAGCCTGGTTATTCCCTGGTACAATATAGCTTTGTGCCAGGTGGAGTCAAATGTTGTAACCTAGACTCAGCCACTGACTGGAGGCAGTCTGCAAAGGCCGGCCCAGTGGAGCGTCCCTGAGAGGTGGGAGCCGAGGCGAGGTGATGCATTTTCTGATGTACGTGATGGAGTCCCCTCCTCGAGGCAGGACTTGGCTCCTTCATGGCAGTGCCCATGGGCACGCCCCTTTTGATGGTCCCCCTGGCCCTGTGGTCCTCACTCCCATCTCAGTGGGCCCTCCATGCCCCCAGCCCCACCAGGGTCTTTCGCAGCCGTGCCCCCGTCAGAGGCTTTCCTGTGCGCTTTCTGTGATTATAGGGAATCGCTGCCTTGCTGTGGTGGTTGCCTGGTCAGCCTGGCTTAGGCTGCATGGCTGTCCCACCCCCTTTTCCAGCAGTGAGTCACTGCCAGGTTGCAGCTTGCTCATACTCCCTGGGCCTCCAATAAAGGTAAATGCGTTTATTTTTTATTGCCCAGAATGAACTCTTTGAGAAAGCCAAGAATGAAATACTAGATGAAGTCATCAGTCTGAGCCAGGTGACGCCGAAACATTGGTAAGTGTTTGACACGCACCCGGTTCGTCTTTTCTGAGGAGGTCTTTCTAGCGCTCTTTCCTCAGCTGGTAAGTGCCGCCATATCAGGTCTGGGCATCAGCTGCCTGGGGGTGTCTCTCTCTTCAGCGAGCCTCCTGTCTGTTCCTGACCTTCCTCGTTTGTCTGGGGCTCTGACGACTCAGATTCTTGGCCTTGAGCCATCCCCGATTCCGCACTGTCCTCCGGCCCTTCTCTCCAGTCACTTGCCAGATCTGTTCTGTCTGTCTTCCCCATATTCCTCCAGGAGTCTGTCCCCTTCTCTGTGCATAGACGGCCATCTTTCGAACTCAAGCCCTTGTCCCCTCTTGCTGATTCTTGCAATAGCCCCTGCTTGTTTTCCTTGGAGTCTCTTCCCATCTGGAACCCTCCTCCTCCTGACTGCTGAGCCGGTCTCCTCAAAGGACAGGAAGCTCCTGGGCTGCCGTCACGACTTGTGGGATGAAATGCAAAGCCCTCTTAGCTTCGCCCAGTGTCTGGCACATAGGAGGCCCCTCCCCTTGCCCCACACTTTGGCTTTCAAAGCCCCTGGTGATGTGGAGCTTGCCCGTCTTTCTCCTCCTCCCCTAGGTTAGCAGGCCTTCTTACTGTTCTCCAGACACGCTTCCAACACCTTCCAACTCCTCCCCTTGCCATGTGAGCCTCCAGGACCGGCACCCTGTGCCCCCATTGGTGGAGCTCCTTCTGAGGCCCTTCTCCCTGCCCTTTAAATGGCACGTTGTGTTGACACCTTTTGGTTGGGACACCAGTCACACGTGACCCCATTGAAGCCCAAGGAAGAGCTCTCCCTCGTAACAAAGGGATACCGGTGTTGCCCAAAGCATGTGTGGCATCCCCTCCATCAGCCAGTGAAGAGATATTTATGTGCATTAAGTAAAAAGTGTCTTTTAAATGTTAAAGTAAAGGATTCTTTTGAAAGGAAATGGATGTTTTTGGACGATACTAGGTTTTCAGGTTTTGTAAGTTGTGAAATCCACTGTATAAACCTTGAAATAGCTTCCTTGTAATGCGGTGGTTGTAGGGAAATAAAAAGTAGCCCCCTTCGGAATTCCTTTATGGCAGAGCTCTCTTGATAGCCATTTGTGGCGAAAATAACCATGCACGGCTATTGTTTGCCTAGTTGAAGGCTGGAGAGATCTGCTCAGGGTGGCCTCCAGAACCCTGACCTCCTCGTGGTCCAGCTCTCCCTGGAACCCCGTGGGGACGCAGGTGAACGCGGCCTCCCTCTGAGGGAGCCTCTTCCCCCTGGGGACAGCTTGTCTTCCTTTGGAGCCTCTCTGTATTAGAGGTCCTGGATCTAGAACCATGCTTGAGAAGCCAGCTTCTACAATAGGAGAAAACACGGTGGCCCAGAGACGGGAAGCCGTGAGCCCGGGGTCGTGGCTGGAGTGTCGGAGCAGGGATTTGAATCCAGGGCCCATGTGTTTCCCACCGGACCGCTCCTTGCCATCCCTTTATCCTGAGTCTGCCGCTGGAGCCCAACAAAACACGCCAAATCCCAGCGCGGAAGGCGTTCCAGAGGCATCCTTCACCAAAAGGCCTCTTGGGACAGACAGAGCACACTGTTCTCTTGGCTGCCTTTTGGAGGCGGGGGCAGCCACACTTTCTGGGATTTCCTTACACTCTTTTGATCTCTTCTCCCAGAGCCTTGTAGGACTTGGTTGATCACAATCATGTCCCCACTTTCCTGGGGTTCTTCCGTGGATGTTTGCCCTGGCTGTTTATTCCTGTTGAATCTCACCTCATCAGAGACTTCTCCCTCCGAGGCTCAGAAGTCGGAGATGGGGGCACGGAAGCTTGGGGGTGTGGAAGCTCACTGAGTCAGTCAGGATGTGCCATGGCGGCTCATGCCCTGCTAGGCCTTGAGAAGAGACACCGGCACTGTGCCGACCCTGGGGTACAGAGAGAGGCCCACCCTGCCCTCCAGTGGGGATCCAGGAGGCAGGCGGCGCTAGGCCTCTGCCACCCTCGGCTCCGTCTCTCATCTGTGGCTTCTAGACATCTCATTATCTGGGTGACGTAACGGAGAGAACACTGGACCTGGAGGCAGCAAGACCAGAATTCTGCCCTTGCGCCAAGTTGGCTAACCTCTGCCCGCCTCAGCTCCCTCTTTGTGAAATGGGATTAAGAGCCCCAGTCTCCCAGGATTGGTGTCACTGGAATTGCTTATTTGTCTGTTTTCAGCATTGAATCTCCAGGTTTCCCACATCTCCCGAGTTCATTTCCCCTGTAGAATTTGAAGTCGTGACAATCAGCCAGTCCTTTCTCGACCTCCTTTGAACTTTGTGGAAAGAGTGGTTTCTCTTCTTCCCAAGGGCTTGTTTCTGGTTGTTGGAGTCGGGTGCAGAGAGAGAGGAGTAGACAGTGAACCCCAGAGCTTTGGGGATCCCCTTCAGAATGTTAACAGGGTTTGACTGAGCCAGTCTCTAACCCGAGAATGAGGAAACAGCTGGCCAAAGGCACGGTGCCACTAGTGGGGTAGCTGTTTCATTAATTAGTTTGGTTACAAGGAACAGATTTGTAAATCGGGAATTCTCCGGTTCAGAATTCCGTCTGGCTGAAATGAAGACAGAGATTACACACATACATCACAACGGGAAGGGAGGGGGGAAGGTGGATCACAAACAGTCGTCCCCAGGACCAGAGGGGTTTCCCAGACAAACCCACCAATGGAGGACGATACAGCAGTTCTGAGTCCTGTAGGTGACCGTGCTGCTCGTTACTGGCGGGGGGGTCAGACCAGACTTCGGGGACGGGAACAGGTTCTGCCGTCTTTGACTCACTTCACTTCGGGTCCGCAGGCACAGGGGCGCGGTGATTGTGAGCCTTGTCACTGTTTGACAGATCAGTTCAAGCCACATGTGAGTCTGACTCATGAGCTGGATAAGGCAGTTCTTGAGAAAACTAAATTATGAGTATATTCATTACATGTATCATGTAGGTTAATGTGGAAATTATAAATTCCTATGACAAGGGTCAGCAGCAGCAGCATCCTTTTCTGGCCTCGTTGGCCAGCTGCAGACCCTCCATCTGCCTGTGCACGCTGCCCCCTAGACCCGGAGGGTGCGTCCTCTTCACCTGGGCCTGTTAGCATCCCCATCTTTCTGGTAAAGGGCTTGGCACAGTGCCCGCACGTGAGAGATGCTGGGGGGTGGAAGTGTTTCCTGGTTCCCTCCTGTTGTTAGTAGACTTCCATTTTAAAAGGAGAATGTCAGCTTCTGTTTGTGTTTACTTTGTAAATGCCGGTGGGATTTAATTAGTAATTAATTTGGATCCATCCCATGGGGCTCTCCAGGCTGGGAGGGGAGGCACAGTTGAGTCACCAGACAGATAGCATTGGAGATTAGGATCTATCAAGCCAGTATTTTCTGGCGTGCCCTGGATTACTTCTGTGTGGGTCATGTCATTATTCTCTGGGACGGACCCTGTGTGCCGAAGGTGGTGCCTGGGGGCACTCGACGACCAGGTGGGAAGGTCGGACCTAGATGCAGCCTGGGTCCCTCCCTTCTGAGCAGGTGCTGAAGTGGGCAGCTTCCCCTGAGACAGTGTGGCCCCGCAGAGTTCACGGCCGTCCCGGCCCCTTAGAGTCCACTGCTGTCCTGACGATGGTTGTTATTTCAGGGAGGAGATCCTCCAGCAGATGTTATGGGAGAGGGTGTCAACCCACGTGATCGAGAACATCTACCTGCCTGCTGCCCAGACCATGAACTCAGGAACTTTCAATACCACGGTGGACATCAAGCTGAAGCAGTGGACCGACAAGCAGCTGCCTGCCAAAGCGGTCGAGGTGGGGACGTCACTCACTCAGGGGTCAGGCGCATCTTACAGAAGGCAGAGCAGGGCCACACGGCCGTGCCTGGGGGCTTCTGCCCCTGGCTTTGCTGTTGTCGTTCTGGGCTTCCCTGGACGCCTGTCTGTCCCGTGGGCCTATGTCTGCCCTGGGGCTGCTGCTTCACACCAGCCGTGTGTTGTGGTGGCTTGTACCCCGTGGCTGGGGCAGTCTGGAGCCCCGATTTAACTGGCTGTTAGCGTGAGAAAATTGATTTTCCTCTCGGGCACTTAATTTCTTGTGAAATCTGGATGAAAACTGTGTTGAAATGCCTCTCCCGAGTGAAGATGAGGCGTTCAGAGTGAGGTGTCAAGCTCATCCAATTGGCAGGGTTGATTCACACCAGAATTACTGGGGCTGGGAGAGGCACGCGGGGTATTGGGGTGCTCTGGCCTTGACCTTGCCCAGTGGAGAGGGCTCCTTGTCGAAAGAAGCTTTTCCCAGCTTTGGAAAGGGGGCTCCTCCATGGGGATGATCTGGGTGCCTGGCTCCCACTGCTCTTCTCTTGGGCCTCTCTGCCCATTTTCCTGGAGATCTTTCCCAGGCATTAGCTCTGTCCTGGAAGGAGCCACAACCACCACAGTCCTTTGGGACCTCTCTTTGGCCTGTGGTGACATTTAATGCCCTGATGTCTGGTGGGCCCCAGGACCATTTTGTTTTCTCAGTCTGTTTCCGGATCAGAAAAGTGGGGGGTCTGCTTGTTGGCTTCGACCTGGCTCCAGGCCCGAGGGATTCTCATTCCTTTGCTGTTCCTTGTCCGAGGGGAGGCGGGGGAGGAAAGGATTAGTCTGCCTGTGCATCCTCCCCCTCCTCTGGCCTTCTTCTTGTGCAGAGGGTTGGAAGCGCTCTGTGATAGAGCCTTAAAGTGGGCGCAGCACACAGGAAGGAGGATTCATCCTTGTTGTTGCTTGTGGGTCTTGAACAAACGTTTTTAATTGTCTAAATTTACTTAGCTCGATGGCTTTTTTTTTTATAAGGCAATTGGGGTTAAGTGACTTGCCCAGGGTCACACAGCTAGTAGGTGTCAGGTTTTTGGTCTGAGGCCGGATTTGAACTCAGGTCCTCCTGACTTCAGGGCCGGTGCTCTATCCATTGTGCCACCTGGCTGCCCCTCGATGGCTTTTTTTGATGGCAGTTTGGGCGGAGGTTTTTAAAGTGCTTCTCCTGGACGTTTTCCTTCTGGGCTGTGCCCCAGCTTTTGGTGGAGGTTTTGGTGCTGGAGGGAGATGGTTCTGCCCGTTGGGGAAGAGCAGGCTTGTTTCCTGTCTGTGTGTCTGGTCTACAGCGCGTCTCTCTCTCTCTCTTCTTCTTCAAGTGCAGGTGGCTTGGGAGACGCTGCAGGAAGAGTTTTCTCGCTTCATGACAGAGCCGAAAGGAAAAGAACACGACGACATCTTTGACAAGCTCAAGCAGGAGGTCAAGGAGGAGAGCGTCAAGCGGCACAAGTGGAATGACTTTGCCGAGGACAGCCTGGTGGGTCACGGCTCCTCACGGGGCTGCGTGGGGGTCATGTTCCTCCCCTTAGATGCCAGCAGGCCGGGCTGAGCCGCACATGGGCCAGAGGAGGGAGCAGGAACACGCCAAATGCCCCTGCTCCCTCCTCCTGGCCCACATGCGAGCACCAGCTTTGGCCTGCTGCCCGCCCGGAGAGGGCAGGGTCCCAAGCAGTCTGCCTTGGAGAGACACCAGGGGAGAGCTCAGGGACGAGGCAGGGGTTCACAGGCTGACTCGACAGGCCACCCGTCTCTTGCTTTCAGAGGGTTATCCAGCACAACGCCCTGGAGGATCGCTCCATCACCGACAAGCAGCAGTGGGATGCAGCCATCTACTTCATGGAGGAGGCCCTCCGTGGGCGGCTCCGGGACAGTGAGTAGAGGCGGGAGGCTCCGGGGCTGGGGTCCTGGGGGCTGGCACAGGGTCCAGTTGCGTCCTTCTCCTCATCTGACAACATCCCAGCCAGCAGGCTCCCCAACACTTCTGCCTGCCCCAGAAGGGCATGTGCTTAGGGTGAGGGTGGGCCATCTCACGGGGAAGGCTCTGGGAGTGGGGGAGAGTGTTAGGTCGCCGTTCTGTCAGGTGTGTGGGAGGGAGGGCCCTGAGAGCTTGGCTGAGGGTTCCGGAGTTTATCAGCCGGGGCCGAGCTGCCCTTAAGGATGATGAGCTGCCCTTAAGGGGAGAGCCTTGAGGCGGGGAGGCCAGAGGGGAAGCTGCTGCTCCCATCCAGCTGTGAGGAGATGAGGCCGTTCAGGAAGAGGGCGGGGCTGCTGGGAAGCTGGGCACAAGTGGGTGGAATGAGGAGTCAGGAAGGACGGCTAGGCAAGGGAAGGAGGGAAGGGTTTGAAGGGAAACAGGACGGAGGTGAGGAGAGAGAGATTAGGACTGGATAAGTAGATCTGAGGACCGCCTGCCTAGAAATGGTCATTGACCCCATGAGAGCTGCTAAGGCTGCCAGGTGAGACAGCATAAAAAAGGGGGCTCAGGACAGGCCCTGGGGGCAGCCGTGGTCAGTGAGTGTGACATGGAGGAAGATCAGGAGAAAGAGGCCAAGAAGGGGAGAGGAGGGCCAGGGGAGGGGTCGACTGATGAGCAGTGCCCTGGGCAGGGCGGGGCCAAGGAGGGCAGGGGATGGAGGAAGAGCTTGTGTTGGGCAGCGAGGCCCGGCTGGTAGCTTAGGGAAGGGCCGAGGGGAAAAGAGGCGGAGGCGTGTGTTGTGGGCACCTTGTCCCAGAGTTCACCAGGAAAAGGGGAGAGAGACGTGGCCCTGGAAAGCTGGGCTGTTTGAGGCCAGGAGTGTTTGTGGCCATTGGGGATCATCCAGGACAGGGAGAGGTGGACGGTTAGTGATGCAGGGGAGGGCAGGGGGGCAGGCTTCTGGAGGAGACAGGAGGGGCGGCCTTGGCGAGGGGGCGGGCCGCCTCTCATGCTGGGTTCTCTGACCCACGCTTCCCAGTGACTCAAAACCAGATCATTGCATCCCAGGACCACACAGTCATCAGAAAGCTGCCGTGGAAAACTTTTCCATGCAGTTAATGCTGAATCCACACGCAGTTCTGATGTTTGTAGGTAGTTAAGCTTGCCCCCAACCAAATTGCATCTGTAGCCTTGTGCCACACGAGGCCCTGTATTCTAATTTTTTTCGTCTTCATTTGAATTTGATCTGGTGGGGGATTGGAAGAGAAGGAGGCTAGCAGACATGTCACTGTCATGCCAGAAAAGTTTAGTAAGAGTAAATGAACTTCATGTTCTCAGTTTTTTTCATTTAAAAATTCCATGTTCTAGCGGAAGCTGTCCTTGAAAACATGGTGGGTCCAGATTGGAAAAAGAGGTGGATGAACTGGATGGGACGGACCCAAGAACAGGTATGGACTGTCGCCTGCTGGTGGCCTTGTGTTTGCGGTGGGCCCGAGGCCTCAGTGCAGCTGCCAGCTGGGCTGCTTTTTTCATTCTCACTTGTTGCCATGATAATCATTTGATTCAACAGCTAAAAGTAATTTTCCAAATTTTTTCAGCCTTTGAAAAAAACCATAATGCTCATGCCGTGAGCATAGTAAGAAGGCCAGCTGATTGTATAAAAAGGAAACTTTGAGGGTTTTCTTAAGGGAAAAATACTCTCTTTCCCCCATTTTGAGGCAGATTTCTCTTACTGGGCCCAGTTCCTTTGGCTGTGCATTTTGAAGCACTGAACAATGAAAAGGTTCCAGGTGCTGTTTGTTTCAGGCTGGGGGGGATTAGAGGCTGAGGCAGGACCCAGCTCTTTGAACCTTTTAAGAAGGAGACAGATGAGAAAGATCAGAGGGCCTGGAAGGGAATCAGTAGTGGATGGGGCTGGGCCTCGGCAGAGCCGCTAGAAATGCCTTTGCCAGGTCACAGCTGTCTGCTGAAGGTCACTGTTTCCACTTACCTTCCTCATCAGAAACAATGAAAAGTGATCCTCCTCCCTGGGCACATTGCCTTTGGGACGGCAGGGCCTCTGCACCCCTTCTCAGCAACGTGCTTTTAAATATATGAGATAAATACAGAGGGTCTCAAAGGAAAAGAAGTATACTGAGGTTACAACAGTATGACAAGTACAAGCTCACAGGCCCCAAGGAATAAGCTGAGTTAGAGGTTAGTGAAAATAAAGCTGTCATTTTTTTTTTCCCACCCAAGTTTGCAGACCCTGGGTTAAGGCTCCCTGGCCTAGCCCATATGCTCCACTCAGGACACATCACCCAAGGCCCTCGAGGCAGTGTGGTCATTGGCCAGCGACCAGGTTTCGTTAATCTGTACCTGGTGTCAGACTCAAATGGGAGCAGAGGCCCCCGGACTGCCCAGAAGGGTCCCCAGGCTGGGCCGCACATGGACATGGAAACCCCAGAGGAGCCTGATCTCTGTTCTGCTGTCTTTTTATTTATCTTGTTCAATGTGTGCCAGTTACCTTTTAATCTGATTCCGGCCACCCTGGAGGTGTTGGGGGCCGCAAGCCTGCCTGGTCTAGAGCACCAGAATCTGGGTCGAGCTTAAAGTCCAGGCCTTTCTGTCTTCTGTGGAAACAGTGACAATTAAAGTCTAACGGGTATTCATTCACTGGCATTGCCTTTTTAAAATTTTAAGTCTGTTCACAACGAAACCAAAAACGAATTGGAAAAGATGTTGAAGTGTAACGAGGAGCACCCAGCTTACCTCGCCAGCGATGAAATCACCACGGTCCGCAAGAACCTGGAGTCCCGAGGAGTCGAAGTGGACCCATGTTTGGTAATGACCCCCAGCATCCGGCAGACAGGGCCAGCGGGGGGGGGGGGGGCGCTCCTTCTGCTGGGGCTTTTCATCACTTTGTGTGCGAACGTGAGGGGAAACTAAGCCTAGAGTTATTCCAGAAAGCAGGATGCAGTGGGATTTTCTGCTCACCGGGACACCGTTCCATTTCTAGAGAGCAGGGTGGGCTCAGTCTGTGTTCAGACTGGGGTCCCCTGCTTCGTGTAATGTTGAGAGCCCGCTTTGGGCATCATTTCCTCCTACTCATCTGTGATACTAGCATGGGGAAAACAGACCTGGGAAGATGAATCTGCTAGATGCTGTCATCAGAGTAGGAGTATTGAGCTAGACATCAATGTCCCCAGTCCTGGAAGCTGCCGGCTGTCATTGATGTAACTCTGAGTGTACTTATTAATGAGTCCACCAGAGGGCAGAAGAATTTCACAACCAAAAATTTTGAAAATCACATCAGGTTTTATGAAACTGGTAGTTTCATAAAAGTTGGTAGTGAATTTAGGAGACAAATTTAGGTAACAGGTAAGAAAGGGTTCTTCGGTTGTCCGTGGATTTAACAGTCCTGGTTATTTCTGCCAATTCCCAAGGGCAAGTGAGAGGTATGCAGTTAGACGTTCTAAGTCTAAGTGGCCGTTAACGTGGCATTTTAGCAAAACAAAAGAGGGAAATTGTCCAAATTGAAGATGTGTATGAAGAAATAGGATTTGGAAACCTTGGTGTGCAAGATGAGCCTGGTGTCTGCCTGTCCATTTGTCTTTATCTGTCTGTGTGGGTGTCGTTTGTCCCTGCCACCAGCTTTAGCAAGTGTCCTTGGGCCCCTGACATGCCTTCTGCCTTCGTCCAGGCTTTCCTGGCTTCCCTCTTGCGCCTACTTAGTGTAGAAAGCTTGTCGCTCATCTCCCCACCTTCAGCGTCTTTTCCCCAGACATCAGCCCGAGTTATCCTCCTGAGGCCGGGCATGTCCCCACTGTGATGCCTGGGGGCATTCAAGCTGGGCCTTGCGAGGGTTTTCGGCAAGGGGCCTTGCCCTCCAGGCCTGGCCTTAGTCTGATTCCAGTTCTCTTTTCTCCAGCCTTCTTTCCTGTGACATCCCTGCTTGCCTAGCCCCGATTCCCATCAGAATTGACGGGCAGCCTTTGGCTGGGTTGGCCTTGCCACGTGTTCCCGTGGGCACTGCTCTTCACCTGCATCGCACGCTCTCTCTTGGAGCCCCCTCCCAAGGGCGAGGGCTTCTCCCCCCCAAAGTCCCCAGCATGTCCTCTCTGTCTGGACACTTGTCCTGGCCTCTTCTGGAGAGACTGGGGCAGGTACATCTTGGGGTCCCCAGCAGTTACACAGTGCCTCGGACTGACTAAATTAAGGTGCTTCATCAGCTTTGGCTGAACCGGTATCTGTGAGTCCCAGCCGTTCACGGCGGGTCACCTCTGCGCCCGGCTGGCCGTGGGGCCCAGCCTCAGCTCCCTCCCCTGCCCCGCGGGCACAGATGTGCCCGAGCACGCCTCAGCGGGTGCCCTAGTGTCTGGGCCCGGGAACTTGCCTGCGGATCCAGAAGCTTTGGTCCACAGAGGGAGAGCTGGGCTGACCCAGGGCCGCCTGATTCCCGGGGGCCGTGGCTGCCCTCCAGAGCTCACTGCCTTTTTTCTTTTTTCAGATTAAGGACACATGGCACCAGGTTTATAGAAGGCATTTCTTGAAAACGGCCCTGAGCCACTGCAATCTCTGTCGCCGAGGCTTTTATTACTACCAGAGGCATTTTGTGGACTCTGAGGTCAGTGTCTAGCAGCGGCCCGAGGATGCTTGTGGGCCCCGCCCTCCCTCTCCCCATGACGTGGGCCTGAGTCTCTTGGTGTCCTTGGTAACCGGGGAGAGAGCCCTGTTCTTCCGCACTGTGATGGCGCCTGGGACGCCCCGCCCCTAGGCCTGGCCTGGGCGAGCTGTGGCGAGGCCCAGTTCTGGGCGTTTTCCACCTGATTCCCTCATTTCTAAAAGAGAAATTGCATGGAGTGTTTGAGGACAGCGAGCCCCCTTTTTTTTTTTAGGCAGTTAGGGTTAAGTGACTTGCCCAGGGTCACACAGCTGGTAAGTGTCAGCATTTGGTCTGAGGCCGGATTTGAACTCAGGTCCTCCTGACTCCAGGGCCAGTGCTCTATCCACTGTGCCACCCAGCTGCCCCGACAGTGAGCTTTTCACATCATTTCCTGACTTGCCAGGCTCCTCCAAACAGAGCAGAGTTTTCTCACGCTATCCAAGTGAGTTTGGCGTGCCCTGGAAGGGGGGACGCGCTGCTCCTCCCGTGGGCCACAGGGGCCGGAGAAGCCCCCATCTGCGGTCGGGCGTGCGTCCGGTAGCCCCCCCCAACCCCCCACCCCCAGCGGTCACTCACGCCAGGACTTCTGGCCTTTTCAGTTGGAGTGCAATGATGTCGTCCTCTTCTGGCGCATCCAACGCATGCTGTCCATCACGGCCAATACCCTGCGGCAGCAGCTCACCAACACTGAAGGTGAGGCGGGGCTGGAGTGTCCCGTTCCCCCCACCCCCCCCTCCGCGGGCCTCTGGCCCTCTCGGCTTCGAGCCTCATCCCACCGTGCCTTTGCGGGAGGCTTCTCTCTTTGGGAGGCCTCTCGACTCACATCTGCCCCTTGCTCTGAACAGTCCGGCGGCTGGAGAAGAACGTCAAAGAGGTGTTGGAAGACTTCGCCGAAGACAGCGAAAAGAAGATGAAGCTGCTCACAGGGAAAAGGGTCCAGCTGGCAGAAGACCTCAGTGAGTAGCCCCTGCTGGGGCGGGGCACGTGGGTGGGCCAGGGGGCCTGGGAGGGGTGGGGGGGACCAGAGCCCGGTGCCCCGCCCACCCCTGTCCAGCGGGGTTCACGCCAGCCTCCAGTGAGTCTAAGCTTGTGACAGCAGGAAGTCAGAACAGTGTCCTTGGGAAACAAAAGCACAAGGGGTGCTCTTTTCACGTCCTTGAAATGGGGCTTTCCGGTACCACTAGTCTCCCTTCCCCCACTAAACAGGGAACAGAACATTTTAGCCCCGCCTTCAAGGGGGATTCCCACCTGTCCCAGCAGCCCTGGCCACGGGCCGGAAGGGCTCACGCCCCCTGGAACCCAGAAAGCCCGTGAGCCTCCACTGGGGCTCCTCCGCCTCCAGAGCCAGATCACCCGGAGTCACGAGGGCAGGACTGGGTTGTGTTTGCTGGGCAGGTCAGGGTGTCTTTGGTAAATCAGGAAAAGTGGTTTTCAGGTTAATCTCAAAAACACAGTGATGAGTTGTCGGCATGAGACCCTTGGAGAAAACGGCTCCACTAGGAAGAGATCTTGTGTTCAGCCTCTCTGAAGGTTTTCATGACAGACAGAAATGAGATTGTCCTCCAGGGAGCCTTGCCCTTCCTCCGTCCTGCCCCTGGGTGTCTGGCAGCCTCAGGCTGGGGTGACGCTGGGCCTGACGGCTGGCTCACTTCCACTGGTACTCTCTCTGTTACTAATTAGTCACTGCTGGATTTGGGAAGTTACATGTCTCTTCTTCATTGGCCTACGTGGGCAGTTATCACCCCGTGGCTTCTCCACCAAAGGTCTGTGTGGGTTGCTAGGGCTCTTCCCTAAAGCTCCAAGACTCACCCCCACTCATTTAAAGCCAAAACTACTGTTGAGTGTCTCCCTGGAGTAGCTTATTGGGGAAGAAACAGCCTTCGAGCCTTTGCCTCCTGCCTGTCATTGAGAGGGTCTGGGTGGAGGTGGGAGGGCCAGGGGCTGGGGCCTGGAGGATGTGGGTGTGGCCATGTGACCCTAGGCGAGTCACCAGCCCTCACCTGCCCGGCGCGAGCTCGCACCTCCCCCCTGTGTCACGTGCCTAGCACGTGCTTGGCGCCATCCTTGTTGGCATTGAAAACGATCAAGCCTCTGGCAGTGTCGGCTCTGCGGAGAGCATGGAGAGGCCAAGGAGGCCCCGGGGCTTGGGGAAGGCCCAAGCCTACCAAGGGGGAGGGGGGGGTCTGTCCCCCGATCTCCATTGTGGGTGCGCATCTGTTTTAGCTGTCTGGTCGTTCCAGGTCAGCGCACAAAAGTCCAGCCAAGTTTACCCTATTCAAGGGGTGAGGTTACAGCTGACGTGGGGGGTCTGCTGGCCCCCCAGGCCTAGGCAGGCCAGTAGCCAGCTACAGAAAGGCCCGTCACTCTGGAGGATGACCCGTGGCACTGGCCATCGAGGGGACGCTCTAACAGTGACCGTTTCCAATGAGGCAGATGCGTGCTTCAGAATCATCTGGCAAATAAATCTGGCTTTGTTTGTTGGCCTGCGGGATGTTGCGCCCTTCCCGCCTTCTGTCCTTTAGACTGCTAACTGCCTAGACCCCTGGAAATCACCACTGTAGGCTGGGCGTTTTTGAGCCGAGGAGGCGCTCGAACGGTGGGGAGCCAAGTCCGCCGTCTTCCACGCCCCCATTTTAGTTCTTCAGTGACGAGGCCTGCTGTAACTTCATTAGGTTCTGCTAGGCCCTGTGCCGACGAAGGCAGAATCCTTCCCTTCTGCTGGGTTAGCAGGCCCGAGTGGCGCCGGCAGAACGGTCGGGGCTCTGTGGGGATGACGGGGGCGGGCTCGGTGCTCTGCAGAGGAAGCCTTTGGGGCTCAGCCTGGCCCCTGGGGCAGGGACAGAACGGGGCCTCTCCACCTGCTGTTGGTGGATTGGGTCAAGCTGGGGATATGCCCACGGGGACCACTGCGCAGCTCTGCACTTTGTCTTGTCTGGCGGCTACGCTCCTTCCCTGCTTGTCTCCACTGAGCAGTAAGAAAAAGGATTTGACCTCGCTCAAAAATGGCTGTACTGAGAGGTCGGTGGGGACAAGTCGTGTGAGGGGAGGCACGTCAGGGCTCTGCCTGTTGTTAAACATCCTTTCTGAATTTCCCAGTAAAATGAAGCCACGGCAGCCTTTTCCCTCTCCTCCTGCCTGACCTGCTTCGAGGCAGCAACAATATCATTTTGAGAGGGAGGCCAATTAGAACTGGTCCGTGGCCCCGGCCCCTGCCGTAATGAATTTGCTCTGCTGATTTCCTACATGAGGTGGCAACAGCTGGCCCTCGTCTTGGCCTTTTGAAGGATTAGCGGGCGCAGGAGCAGCAGGCCTGGCCTCTCGCCGCTGTTGACGCGCCTCTGCTTTCCGATGCCTGAGTGTCTCCCAGGCAGCAGCAATTGTTTCTGGAAATGTAAAGTTTGTTCTCTGGGGAGGGTGCGATCAGCAGCGCACAAAGCTGGTGGGACTTGTCCTCGGACTGTCTTTGCTCTCCCGCCCTCCCTTCCTTCTCTGCTCCACGCTGTGCCTTGTGTGAATGTAAAGAAATGATGCAGAGTGCTGGGGGGTGGGGTAAGAAAAAAGGCTCTGTAAAGGCGTGTAACTTAGAAAATTCAGCCATGCTTAGGTGTTTTGATCTTTTTTTAGCTGAGAAAGTCTATGTAAACTTGAGATTAACATTTAACTGTTGGGACCTAAAAGTGTTAGACTATGGAAGAAGGCCAATCAGTTTTCCTTAAGCTGCCATCAACCCAGTGACGGTGTCATCCTTCTATTTTAATTAACGCTTGGTGGTCATCGAAGTTTAACGTTTTTGAAAATGCCCTTTCTTTAGAGACAAGAATAGAAGCAAAGTTTGTTAGAGAAGATATTTAAAAGGGATGAAAATGAGAGCAGAAACAGTCACGTTGATGCCCGAGGTGAGAAGAGGACAGAGCCCCCCGGGAGGGGGGTCTTCTGGGGCTCCTGACGTCGTGGCTGAGAACAGAATTTGACCTGTATAGCCAACAAGAATTAGGATAGCGTTTTCAAAGCAGAGGCTCTTCAAAGTCCCTTCTGGATCTAACAGCCTGTGACTCTGCAAACCAGAATGTTCTCTCCCGGTCTTCACAGCAAGGCCAAGCTTGACTCTGTCCTAAAAATCATCTTGGTAACTCAGGCTCCAGAACAGGAGTTCTTAACCTCTTGTGAGTCATGGGCCCCCCTTTGGCAGTCTGGTCTAATCTCACACTACTGTGCCTATGTTCAAGTTTGAATTAATTACTCAATTTTAGCTAAAGGTTAGTGAAATAGAAGACATAATTTCTTTCCCATCCCAGTTCATAGACCCCTGAAATCTCTCCAGACCTGTTGTGAGTCTGTAGGCCCCAGGATAAGAACCCTTGCTAAAGACATTTCTGTATTCTGACAGTATGTGTTAACTGATATTTTAAATGTCTGAAATTAAAATTTTGCTAGCAAACTTAGAAACTTTTATAATGTTAACTTGAGTGAGAAGCCGTAATTCTCCTCCAAGAAGTGATTGATCAAAGGGTCATTGGGAGGCCAGAGTAGGGTTGTTTTGTGGTCAGTAACACCGGCTTTGATGGCGTGGCTCTTAGCCGGCTTCCTTCTGTGTCTCTTGGCCTCGCCAGATGTGCCTTTTAACCTACAAAGTCTCTTTTGTCACCCACAGCATTGTCTCCAGTATTGTATTTGACAGTTTTCTGTATTTTCTACATCCTCCTTCTTTGAGTTTTGGAAAGACTGAGTAGCACACGCTGTAATGTGACCAGAGTCAGAAGAAGCTGGAATTGCTGGGAGTGGAGGAGGAGTTACCATTGGGTCTAGTGGATTTTGAAGGAACCAGCCGTTTATCATGTGTGACTTTTTAAACGCTTTTCTTAGACTTGGTGCAGAAAGTCATGGATTTATAAAAGAACAGGAAGGAAAGTGACAGTTGACAGGGTAGGTAGGTTGGAGAAGACTGTTCTAGACCAGTCGGTCCCGTTGGAACATCGCCCAGCTCTGTCCGTGTCTAGCAGATGCAGGAAGGCTCGCTGGCCTGGAATAAACATGTCGACAGAAGGCCTGGCTCCTCCACGTGCCCAGGTCTTGGTGGCTCCCTGGGCGTCACGGCGCTCCTCAGAATCCCCTGGGAGCCTCGCGCCGTCTTGCTGTTGGCTGCACGTTGCTCACTCTCTCTTAATGACCGCATTATGAAGTTGGTCGTCGTTCTGGTTTCCTCCCTCGGCCAAACTGCTGGGCAGTTCCCTTCTAGGACCCTCCCCTGAGCCCACCCTGGGCCACAGTCTTGCAGCCTGCTTCTGGGTAGAGGGCCAGTGGAGCAGGTGGACATACGCCTTGTCATCCTCCCCTTTGCCAAGGGATTGGCCGTCCTCTTGTCTTCTCCTCCACCCCCTTGAGGTGCCTCGTGCTCCCTGTCTTCCTGTTCTCCCGACTTGGAAGGAGCTTCATTGCTCACAGCCCTTGGGCACCTCTCCTTTGGGTTGTGCTTTTCAGTTCTCCATATAACACCCTAGGAGATGGACCTGAGAGAAGCTTGGGGTCATTTGAGAGCCGGCGCCATCTTCAGAAGCTCATTCAGACCATTTGCTCCTCTTGCTTAATTAATTCTAGACCCGTGTCCATGTCCACTGAGGCTGTTGGGCCCAGGCCCAGGAGCCCTGTAGGCCGTCCATCTGATCGCATGTCATGGTCTGGACTGTAGATAGTCTTCATCCACTCGGTCTTTCCTGTGGCTTTGGCCAGGCCCATTTCTTTTCTTTTCTTTTGTAAAATTATTTATTTTTCGTTTCCAACATTCACTTCCGTAAGATTTTGAGTTTTAAATTTTCTCCCCCTCCTTCTCCTCCCCCCTCCCCCAGAGTGCAATATGATATAGGCTCTATTTATACATTCATATTAAACATGTTTTCACATTGGTCATGACATAAAGAAGAATTAGAACTAATGGGAGGAACCACGAGAAAGAAGAAAC